ATTAAATAACCATGATTTTATTGTTTTTAAATCTTGTAGGGTTCTGGTGTGGAATTGAATTGGACAAGCCTCACGGTAAGAATGATGGTTCAGTAGGAGGTGTTCAGTACTTCAGTTGTCTTCCTAGATACGGTATATTTGCACCACCATCTCGTGTTCAGAGGTAAGCACTGAGGAAGGTTTAATATTTGTATTGCCAAACACTTTCGTAATACATTTCCAGTGGGAAAAGAAGTTTTGCAGCAGATATAGAAGAAATAATCTCTTTATTCTGCTAATGGAAGTTTATTACCTCCATTAAAAACTTTATGGTTCTTAGATCAGCTTTTTGAAAGCAGAATATAAATTGGAAATGCAGCTCCATTTCCGTTGCTGCTACTTCAAGTATTTTCATTCCAGGGCCTCCATTTCTAGGACAATCTGGGTCATGAAAGTTAGATTTAATGAAAACAATCCTGATGCTCCATGCAAAATTTGGTTACAAAAGGAAGCCTTTGGGCTTGACTAGAAATACCATTTCATTCCTAATTGCACAGAAGACCCAAAACATCCACCAAGCTAATTTGTAGCCTCTCAGTTTGGTTTTGGAAGAAGATCTGAGATATACCGTGCTCTTTCCTGCTATATTTGAATCCTGTTACTCTGCCAGAGCTTCTTTCTTTTCTTTCCCTTAACATCCTATCTGAGCTACACTGTTTAAGAACTTTGCCTCAAAATTATACATGCTCTCTGTCTGTTAATAAAAGACTTTCCATAGTAACTTGCTTGTTGCAAATCAGTAAGTTCACCTCTTACATACCAGCCTTATTACAATTAAAATGTTAGTGTCTTTTGAGAGTGGATGGGGAAGGGAAATGATTAGAACTTAATCAACATTTGACAAGAAGTACTCCAGCAGGAGTTCTGTTAAAAGTTGAGTTTAAATGACTTCTTCATTTTATTATTGCTTTTTTAGATTAACAGGTTCACTGGATTCTCTCGCAGAGACTTCATCAAGTAAAATAAATCACAGTTTTCCAGGTAGGTGTGAAAGACATTGATTTGGTTTACGTAGCCTTCTACCATTCTTCAACTAGTACCTACTACACAAAGCTAACCTCTGTGAAAGCAAAAGGGATTTTCAAGGAACCCAAATGCTAGCAAACGGTCTGACTGTTCCCATCCTAAAAATGAAGCCCGCAGTTACTGGCTGCAGAATGAAATGTGGAGTACCATGTTATTAACCCTGTCCTTGTGGAAATAATTACATCAGAGTTAAGACTCTTGACGCTTTTCCCTTATTACTGTATTGCACTCTAATTATAGTAATCATAAATTGAACCCGGTCCTTCATCCCCTGGTGAGGGGATCAGTGCAGGGAGAGGCGCATACAGAATTGCTAAAACTTCTGTGAGATAGTTGAAGTAGTCACTTTTGGTTTTCCTTACCTAAGATTTTTTGTGAAAAGGCTGCTTCAAATTACCTTTGTTTGGTTTGTTAAATTTATTTCATCTCGGAACATTGAACATGTTACAGACGCTAATTTTCATGAGAAGTTTCAACATTTAATTTCCAAATTGGCAGGGAGACCATGTAGCAAAGGTAGTGGAAACAGTATAAAAATAAAAACAGAAAAAATGAGCTCATAAACAACAACCAAAAAAACCACCTGTAAGTTCTACACAGTCTATTAACCTTTTCATTTAGGTTTTAGACGCAGCTTAAGCACAACTTCTGCATCTTCACAAAGAGAGATAAACAGAAGAAACTCCTTTGTTAGGTGAGTATTTAAAATGGGTGGGTGAGCTGGCTGTTAGCTTTGCTGTTTCTTGTTCAGAAGAAAATATTTGTGCTTAAAAAAAAATAGATACATGTCCACTCTTTTTTCTTGGAAGATTTTTCTTTGAAGATTAAGCAGTAGTCAACCATTTTTCTGTGGATATCCAGGAGTACACTCCTGGAACACAGAATATTGTATTCAACATTGTATTCAAGAATACAATATTCAAGGTGGCATCAAAATGGTTTTCCAATTGTTAATCACTGCAAATTCTCCAAGTTCTTGTATTTTTCACACAGCTCTTTGAAGTCCAGAATACTGACTGACCTTTGCACATTAAAAGTTGTTTTGGCTAAACTCTTTCAAGCCCCAAACAAAATGTGTTGTACTGCTTAATTTGCCAATATTGTCAACTGTGCTAAACATCAGGAATCCAAGCATTTCAGAGTATGGTGTATTCTAATATATTAAAATTATGTTTTACTATTAACATGAAATCAAAACCATTTTTTTTTTTAAAGGAATTTGAGAGTTTTTCTTGCCCTGCATTAAATTACAAATTTGCCTTGGGTGTTTTACAGAAATAAAACTTTATTTTCTGCTTTTCAAACTAGGTCTAAGAGCTCTATGTCACGGCACAGCTGGAGTAATACCAGTGCAACTACCACTGAGGGACTGGTGAAGCTGCACGAAGGCTCACAGGTTCTTCTGACCAGCTCCAATGAAATGGGTACAATCAGGTATATTGGTCCTACAGACTTTGCACCGGGGATATGGCTCGGACTTGAACTCCGAAGTGCCAAGGGAAAGAATGATGGCTCTGTAGGGGAAAAGCGCTATTTCACCTGTAAGCTGAACCATGGGGTCTTAGTTCGACCTAGCAGAGTAACCTATCGCGGGATTAACGGGGCAAAACTTGTAGATGATATTTGCTGAGCCAAAATATGCTACAAAGTAGGAAATCAAAGCACACAAGAACCTCATCTAGATTTCCACCTTATGTTTTGAACAAGTAAACCTGTATTTGTATTTTACATATATATAATATATATATGTGCATATAAATATATATATTGTGTTTGTGCGTATGTGTGTATATATATGTATATACACACATATTAAGAAGTAAACACACTATTCTGTTTCTCTTAATGAAACAGCTCTTACCTGGGAAAAGGTACTCTTACTCCAAAGGCTTTTGGGTTTGAGATGCTGTATTATTTGAATCATGCTCCAGTTGGAGAACGCTAGTATATCCAGTGTTCTCTAAAGTTGCTTCATGATTCATATAGTATTTAAACGATTTTCTTCCATGTAGTAATGAACTGACAATGCTTCATGCATCGCCTGCTTTTGATAGAGGAGGTGGTTAATGAGCGATGTGTGTTTCCTAGACACTTTGACAATTTCAATACCAGCTGCTAGCAATAAAAAAGGCAAAAAAGACATTTTTTTTCAAGCACTTGAAGTATTTCTATATTTTATCATCAGATCCATACTCTCTTTACCCACCTGCCATTATCCCCTCCTGAATATAGAAGGGCTGATAAATGCAAGTATTTGCGGCTATCCTAGTGAATGAATTAAGTAAAAAGCCTATAAAAACACACAAAGACACTGCATGTAGTTGTTAAATGCACTTTTTGTTGTATGTATTTGTTGAAAGAGCTTCCTGTAAGAAGCACTCTTTAAAATAATGCACTTTGCACTCTCTTGGAGAACTTTCCCTCATTTTTAAAGGTATTTTTTTGTTGTTTGGTTGGTGTGCTGCAGGCTATGAGTATCACAATTTTTAAGTGCAAATGAACCCAGAGTGGAACTACACATAATAGATACATTATAAATATTAAGTCTGTATAAGTACAGCATGGTAATTCCTGCCAGTGGTGTGGGTTATACGCAGGGTTTTCAAGCAAGCTATTAACTAGCTATTTGTTTGTTACTGATGTTTCTTTTTGTTTTGTTTGGAACAGTATCCAGTATAAGTTTATTTTAAGAGTCTTATGCGAAATTAAGGCTAATTTTAGGAACAGCACTGTAACACAATGTGAGGTGACATTTGCATATCAGCTTTTTAAAAAAACAGATAGTATTTTGCCCATGTTTTAAACATGTAATGTATTTTAATTGCTCACTATCTTACTGAATATTATCAGGGTGGTTTTGTATTCCAGAATGGTCATTTTATTCTTAAATGATCTGCCTGCTTTTATCTACTTGAAAGAAGTGACACTATAATTACATCTTAATATACTATTTTTAGACAGAATTCTGCTGCTATTATGTTATTTTAACAATTAATGTAGCTATTTTTCCTGAGCTGTATTTAAAATACTGCATATTGTATTCTAGCTTATGGACATTTAAATTGAATATAAAAGCTGTAAATTTTTAATGTAAAAAATTAATGCTTTATATTTGAAGATGTACTGAACATTACTTTGTCCAATATCTGTTTCTTGCTGGTATTATTAAAATGAAACCCTGGTGAATAGTATAGGATGGTAAAGAGAAATTTCATTATTTCCTTACAGAACATACATCTTTTCTCTCACTTCTGTTCTTATGTACAAATTATGTAAACAGGATGTTGTAGTGTGCTTTGCAGTGCACAGGAGAGGTCCCTTTTCAGTTAAGAGAGGAAGGAACCAAAGCATGTGTGGGGAAACGGAGAAGAGAGGTGTGTGCCTAAAACCTGCTCAGGAGTTTTGTTAACTAAACCACATTAATATCTTGCCAGGGGATAATAAGCACATGGATAAACAAGTGAAGGAGAATAAATAATTCTATAAATGTTGGTCCTAATTTTAAGGAATGTTTCTTGAGAAAGTAGATACCTAAGATGTAGGAGTGGAACAGAGGGGAACAAGGGAGCATTTCAGGGCAGGAGCTCTCTTTTCCTATGCCTGTCATAGGACTTACCTGTGGTACTTCACTGTAATAAGTTTATAATCAGACCTATGAAAAGTCATGTTGTTCTCTGTTTATGCTAGCTACTTTCCTTTGGGTGAAAGCCAACCTTTGTTGCTTGTAATAGAAGGAACAGCACCTTTCTCTTCTGTAAGAAGCTTGGAGGGTACATAGATTTACAACACAACCAAGTCTCAAACATGTGGCTGCTAGCCAGGAAGATGGCAGTCTCTGTTTGGCACCACACCTGCTCCTTTTGTGCAGGTGTGCCTGGATACTTCTTCAACTGACCTGATGCTGATACAGTCATTATACAACCCAACACAGAAGAAGCCATTTACAGTCATTTTATTTGTCTTCATGCCTTTTTGGTTCACTACACTTGTTTACAATACAAATACACTATTCAATACAAAATACTCAATGACCATATGGTAGTATTTTTCTTCATAGTATCCCTGAAGTGCATAGGCCCTTCCTTTATCAACAGTGTTGCATAAACTACTGTACATGAGACAGACATTCCTATAATGAAGCTTTGTTACTAGAAGAAGCCAGGTGCAGACAATTCAGGCAATTTCCTGTGATGGGTTTAACTTTGGGACAGATGCTTTGTGATGTCTTTGCAGCTGTTAAAGGCTGTTTTATGTTATTCCTATGTCAAAGTTCTTGTCCCCAAAAAGACAGGCTCAGTAAGAGGAGCAAACGTGCAAAAATCAATCCTTCATATTCTATTTCAGACCTCTTACCTCTTGTCTAAACATTTGTGCCCAGTGGTGCTGCAGTTACTCTCACACTGAGCCTTTGTCCTTTTGTGAACACACAGGAGTGAAGTGAAGCAAGTGGACCAGTGACATTACACCACTGAAAGATGTGACTCAGCCAAATTTACGCAGATTTTGAGCTTTTAGTCTGTGGTACCTGACCTCCCTTCCCTGATACAGCAAAGTCCCTCTCTTGCCACCACTCCTTCTACTGTTCCTTGAGGAAGCAGAACAACCAGACTTCTGGCCTTTGCTTCATTTCCAAGCACGTGATACAGAAGCAAGGTTCAGTAGTAAAAACAAAGATGAAAGCACAACTGGAAAGGTAGATAAACAGGCATCCTAACCTACTTTACCTTCAGCAGCTTACAAATCAGCACAGAGTCAGAAAATCTACCTAACATCTACAGGAAACAGATAACATCTACAAGGAAACAAGTTGTTTTCAGAGTATGAGAGTGGTAGCACAGGATTTTCGTATTCGTTCTTTATATCCTGTAGATCGTACTGCTTCCTGCTTTTCCACTGCAGCATGAGGAATATACATAAGACTGGAATTTAAATATTAAAAATGAAAAAGTTTAACAGTTTAAAAGCAAGTTCTGTACTTGCTTTTACATTTTACAATTTATGTTGTCTCAATAAATTGTACTAACAATTAAAAAACAACAGACAAAATTTTGTAAGAGATTGTAAATGACTTCAACTGTTTCTTCTACAATACTGTAAGCCTAGTGTGGAAGGGTTTAAGAAGGGGATTTACACATGCTGGGGTGCTCTTTGGTCTGTAACTTAAGCCCATGGCTCACTGGAGCTTTCAGAACTGATCAGGTGTATCTTCCCAGACACAGAAATTTGGTATTTGTACCTCAAATAATTGACTGGACAAAATGCTTTTGCTAGTGCTTCACATCCAAAAGAAACAGGCTAGAGAGCCAAACTGGTAGAAAGTGAAATATAGACGTGGACAATGACTGCTTCCAGTTATAACAGAAATGCTATAATAAATTCTATTAGATATCTTCTTGTACATAATTTAAGGTACTGTCTCATCATTAACAACTACAACAAGTTACTCAGCTCCTTACAGACAAACGGAGTCCATTACGTCTAAAACATCATCTGCTAGCTCCCCCCAACCTCTGCCTGGAAAAGACAGTTATTTTTTTTCCTACCTCTCTGGACGAACTCCTGCTGGTAATTCTTCAACCCAGGGTATAACTGCAGGGTAACTGCAGCTACCGCATGTGTACTGCTACATGAAGCAGGACTTCATAGACAGGTAATTCCTGTCACAGCCCTTCAGATAATTTTGGGTGGGACAGCAATGAAAAGTGAAGTTCGAGTTGCTAACTTAGCAATAGAGGAAACTGGGTTTATTATTAAGGAAAGCTTTCTTTACAACATCCCAGTGGTTGATATAAATAAAATGGTGTTTTAATACTGAAATCCTGGAATGATTTCAGCAACAGGACATACATTCATTCGTTTGAAGTTAATGCAATCAGAGAGTGACCAGGAAACTGTCATTGACGCAGCCTGCATGGAAGTGGGAGAGAACCCTTTGGTCCAGTCAATTAATTCATAGAAATAATTTGTCATTGATTCTAAGAAACGAGACATGCAAAATCTCCAAACTTTGTTTCTGAGTATCGCATTTTGATCAGCATCAGTGCTTACAGAGCAGTTTGTGTAAACTGGGGCTTGGAGCTTAGACAGCAACCTGGTACACAAAACTAAATGCTCACTGTGGGCGAGCTCAGAGATGTTTTTTTACATTAAAAAAGTACAAACTGGAGTTCTAAAGTCCTCTGCATTTCAAGTGTTAAGAGGCAGGGGAGGGTTTTTTTTTTTTTTTTAAAAAAAAATACACAACAACAACAGAAAACACCAAAGCCAACAACAAAATAAAAACAACCAAAAAAAGCATTTCACTTTGGAGACACAAAGGAAGCTTACTTAAAGCCTACTGCTAGTGCAAGAACCATACCCAATGGACTGGAGAATTTCAGTAGTAATTCACCATTTTGCCTGACCAGTTATCTTCCTCACATATTGCATAGGTAAGAAGCAGTAACGTGCTCCTTCATCATTTACAATGTTCACTCTGTGAGACTATTTTGTTCAAACTTTTATGATAATGTAACTGCACATCACAAACAGCAGCGTAGTACACATGCTATCACCATGGCTGGAGAAAGCATGCTCCTTAAGCATGCATCACATTTTGCTGCTTGTTCTTTTAAGCTTCTCTAAGAATGCTACATCATAACCTGGTAGGTTATCTGCATTTCTGCAGCAGCAGAGCTGCTGCCTCAGATATAAGAGTAATTTCAACTCAACAAAGATCATTAACTTTCAATGTTTTTGTTCTTGTGTATTCTGTAAGAATACCCGTCAGTACACAGTTCAGATTCTGTCCTCAGTCACACGTAAGAGGCAGGACAGCAAAAACTCTACTTCTATGCAAAGATGAGCTACAGAAAACAATGAGGAGCTGCAACCCATTTGAAAATGAGAAAGCAAGAATATTCAAATGAAAATTGCTATTATATGTGAATAATATTGTGGTGCAAGAAAATTCTCTGATAGTGCTTACCTGCTGAATTAATCAGCTTTCCTGAGACTCCACAAACCTACCTCATTGACTTTACTGAGGTAGAAAGAGTGGCCAGTGAGACACTAACACAGTCTTAAGCTAGACAGACTCCTTCTCCAGTGGCTAGCGGCATGAATAGAACTACAAACATAGCGACCTCACCAATCACAAATATTTTCTTAATTCAAGCTAAAGCAGCCCGCATACAGCAGCAGAACACCCAAAGGTAACCTTAGTTATCACCACCAAGCTCATGCAGCAGCGGTGCAATGGATCACTGGCAGCTCCTCACTCAAGCTTGTCAACACAAGAGCACATCTCCATTAACTGACTACTACGCACAATTTGGCATTATTGCAAAGAAATAAAATAGTTCTACATACCAGAGATGTGAGAAAAGCAGGTTAGGAGAGAACACTACTTCTCTCTGTGCTCCTCCCTTACCCCCAATTACTTTTTTTATTTTTTTTTTTACAAGGGCGGTGTCCCAAACCAAGCCCTCTGATTGCCAGCTGCATATCTCAAAGGTTAACGGCATGTAAACGCAGATACTGGTTGGTTTGCTTAAGCAGACAGAAAGCTTACCTCAATATTTGGAGCCAGGGCCAGATTCAGAATTACTTCACTGAAGGCAGAGTCTTGGCCTGAAGAACACCTTCATGTTCCTTTGCTGATGCCTCAGAAGACTCATTTCTATAGAAATAGGCACCTTCTTTTCAGATAATTTTCATTAGTGCTATAACAGCTCCGTGCACCTGTGAGTTAAAGTTACTAACGCACATCTTTACACATGAATCATTTCCTACATCTATGTTTTGACAATACAGTTACTGGAATGTTTTTCATGCACAAGGTGTACAAATGAATCAATACAGTGTTTGCTTTTAAATCACGATCATACACATATTTTGTTAAAAAACAAGGGCTCTAAACCCTTCAAATACAAACAGTATCTGGCATCTGGATTGCGGCACAATGTCAACAGCCTTTGTGTTGTTCTTGCTTGTACACGGTATGTGAAAGGCTACTTTAAACCTCTGAGATATGCAGATGGCTGTCCATTTTCAGGGCACAGCTGAAGTTTCTGTCATAATCATGGTCCTTTAAAGCTTCACTTCGGTTCCATGTGACATGCACAAGTTGTGATGAAGGACATTCCTACTTCTGTAGGCCAGAAGGAATTTTACAGGGATTTACTCAGTTTTAGCGCTTAAGCACAGGAGAAAAACAAACAACACAGAGAAAACCAACAACCGCCCCCACCAAACCACAATGCCTCACAGCATCTCACCCGTCCTCTATGCTTCCTGTTGCTTCTTTCAAGCAATTCAGTACGACCAGGCTTTCTATTGCCCTGCTATCCCACCATAACTACTATACATTCAAGGACTTTCAACAACTAGGCTGGAGCTGGAGCACAACTTGGGAAAGTGCCATTGTGTCACCAAAGTTGTCTCCTTTCTCACTTTGGATGAAGGATGCTCTCTACCCAAACCCACTAAAACCTCTGCCAGCTGCAGGTGCTCTCCAAGCATTCTTTAGCAACAACAAGTTTGGCACGGAAAATCCCAGACCTGAAACACTCAAGGCAGTGAGCTGTGGCTTTACGCTTAAGCAGAGAATGCACAACTAAGAAAAGCTCACAGGAAGGGCATGACAACAACCATGCGTATGAGTTAATGCGATAGGAAGCTGGGCCTCGCAGTTAACATTTGTTTCCTTTCTCTTCCCGCCCTCCCCCTTGTTTCTTTTACTGTACTGGGGCTCTGGTGATTTGAAGCCTCTTGGGTTATTTGAAATTACAGCTTTGAAGGTGGCACTTTTGGAGCAAGTTGGCACAAATAGAAGGTAATGCTGTCACGTCCCTTGCTTGTGGCGTACTGGGTAACAGGACATCTCCTCAAGGCTTGGGGCCACAGGTGGAAAAGTCAAGAGGGTAGAGGGCTCTCAAGGCCCATGCTGGGTTATGTGGCTCTTGTTTCTAAGGGCGGGGTCCTCGTAACTGCTAGCACAAGGTGGCGTGGAGGCTTCCAAAGGTAAGCCCTGCTGTTGGTATCCGTAGTTGACATTCCCACAGGGGAAGTGACGGAGCCTAAAGAGAGGCACTTCTTTAACACTTGCTGTTAGGGAAGATGGCTCTAATAGCAGGGAGGAGCCTGGTAGCCTGCCAGTCACAATGTTGGGCCCCACAGTACAGTTTCCTTCGTGTCCCAAATTCTCCCTCTCAGGCATCTCTTTCTCCAGCAGAGGATTGTTTCTGCTGGCCTGCTTCTCCGCAAACCAGGAACCATAGGTTGGATTCCAGAGGTTGGTGGGCTTGTTTCTGGAGCCCCGGCCTTTGTGCAGCTCAGAAGGGGGGTTGGACTGGGTGTAGGCCATGTTGATATGTCCCCCAGCTGAAGCTGACTGCACCTTCCCAGGGACTGGCGGTTCCAAGGCTCCCGCTTTCCCTAAAGCTTTTCCAGCAGTGATGGCTGATGGCAGGGGTGGTGGAGATGGCAGAGTTTGCTTGTCATCTTTTCTGTCTTGGTGTGCAGAAACCAAGAGAGGAGGAATTCCTTCTGGGTCTTCTGGGTGTATCGCTACCTTCTCTTCCTCTTCAACTGACGGGCCATATTCTACTGGCAAAGCAGTGTTGATGACATCTGGATCCTGCAGGAGAGACGAATAAGAATTTCTCCATGTCTGCTGCCATCACACATACTCAGACTCATTAAAAACCTGAGACATCTGACAACTGTCATTGCTGTGATCAGAGACCACCTTTCCCAGACCATCTACAACCTACATTCCATGTGCAGAGGAAGCTGACAGTGTAATTAGCCATGAAAGACAATGGGATACCCGTAAAATTGGACTCTTAAAAAAAAAAAAAAGAGCAACACTAGAATTTACCACAGAACAGCAGAGAGCAAAAAAACAATGAAAAACATTTTTTTTAAATGTCCAGCCAGATTTTCCTGTGGGGATGTTGTTTTGGAATCTATATTGTCTCAAAGTTCATAACATTCTCAGTTAATATTGAGAAAGTTTCAGCCATGAATGTATTGCCTCCACTCAACAGGGAGGAGTGAGAATGCAGGCAGAAGGCAGCACTGACAGATCCTTTGAAGCCCAAATCCACAGATACAGCAGTTTTGAGCTATTTAAGCAGTTTTGAAAATTAAACTGAGAGAAACAGGGTAATCTGGGTAATCTTTAACTATTGCTAGACACCAAGGCAATCTATAGGTAACAGAAAACACTGCCTCTCAATCCCAGGATCCAAACACTCATGAAAAACTGATCAAGCCTCCCAAACAGTGAGGGAAAGCAAGGTGACTGAGAAGAATAATTGCATGAGGTGACACAACAAACCCATACTGAGGCAGGCAGCAAAACATTTTCCAAGCTATTCTGCTCTATACTAGTCAGCTAAAAATGATGGTAAAAAAATCTGTGTCTTCATAAGCAGGAGAGATATTTGGTCTGCTATTTGTAGAGCTGTGTAACCATACACCCTTTTGGACATGAAAGACAGAACGATCAACCACCTGATGGGGCAAATGTCCCATCAACTGGTCCCAGGCTGACATCAGCCTTCCTGGACTGATGACTGCAGTAATGCAGTGCCACCTTCTCATCTCACACTCTGGCTTGCCTAAACTCTTCATCAGCTGGAAACGTCTTCACCCATCTCATGGGAGATGAATGAACAGATACCTGAGTGCAGTACTCGATCCTCTCCAGTATTATGGCAAAGTTTGGCCTGTCTTCAGGCTGGTGCTGCCAGCACTGGGTCATAATGCGATACCTGAAAGAGCCGAACAAGAGATCTCATAAATGGCAGATCCTGCTGATACTTAACAGGTAGTCACTGTGGACTAGAAACCCTAAGCACATGTTGCCACTCTCATTAATAAAGAGTACTCTGCATTCCCCAAAGTCAGACACCCGATGTACTGGTAACCACTGAAATGTGGCCACCAGTGGGGTGAAATCCACAGCCCATTAGAGAAATAACCCATTTGCCTGAAACCCTTGGGCGATTCACTAAAGGTAGGCAGGGGCACAGGCACTGGAACCCAGTTTTTCCTACCTGTGAACAAGCTTACACACTTGCAGTTTTACAGTCAGTCTAGGACAGAAATATTGCACGACCTTTGACCAAACAAGCAGTATCCTGTACTTTTGAAAGGGGTCCTGAATTCTTCTCCGAAAAAAAACAGAAAAATTACCTGGCAGAGAAGTCACTGGCAATCAAAGTGCAATAAGGGAGACCAGCCAAGATAAAATCAATCTCAAAAGTCATTAACTTTTGACTAGAGAACAATATTAAAACCAGAAATGTATTTGCATGAATGCATCAAAGTTAAAATCTCATACACAGGGCCAGGGCAGTTTTTAGGCGGATCCATCCTTCCTCCATTGGTTACAAATTCCAGAACCTCTTGGTTACTTTTGCTAGGGTAGGGCATGTATCCCAAAGAGAATATCTCCCAGAGCAGTACACCAAAGGACCTGAATACAGAAGAGAAGGAAACCAAAATGAAGGAGACAGGAATGACCATCATCAGTGAGGGGTAATGAAATACATGTACAGTCAGCACTGCTCCTTGCAGTCCATGCTCAATGTGGAAGTCACTGCTGCAGGATTTAGACATACTAAATTCTATAGTTGTAAAGGTAGATTTTGAATCATTTTAAGAATGCTATTAGTTGACTGGTGAGTTGAGTCTACAATATAGGTATGTAAATCTAGTTGTTTTGCTCTTTTACTCAGCACTGCTCAACTAGATGTAACAAATGTGAAAGACTGTGCTTTTCTGAGACATCAGCCACTCAGCAGTAGCCTGAACACTAACAGCAACCTTTTCCTCTTCTGTAAGCTCCACTTCATGAAGTATGCCAGTGAATCCCCACTGATGCTCTGAGTCCCCTAAATTCCTATTTGTACCTCAGAGCGTAGGAAAACAGGAAAACTTTCCCTAGCTAACAGCAGTCCTGGGCTTGTGGTGTGGCTTGCAAAGCCCTGAGTCCAGAGGAGGGCCACAAAGGTGATCAGAAGGCTGGAGCACCTCTCCTATGAAGAAAGGCTGAGAGAGCTGGGGATGTTCAGCCTGGAGAAGAGAAGGCTTCAGGGAGACCTCAGTGCGACCTTTCAGTACTTAAAGGGGGCTTAGAAAAAGGATGGAGATGGACTCTTTACTCAGGTAGATAATGACAAGACAAGGAAGAATGGTCTTAAACTAAAAGAGGACAGATTTAGATTAGACATTAGGAGGAAATCCTTCACTGTAAGGGTAGTGAGGCACTGGCACAGGTTGCCCAGAGAAGTTGTGGATGCCCCATCCCTGGAAGCGTTCAAGGCCAGGTTGGATGGGGCCTTTGCAGGGGTTTGGAGTTGGACAGTCTTTAAGGTCCCTTCCAACCCAAGCCATTCTATGATTTTAAAGCAGTGCCTACATCTGCCTCACTCTTCCTTCCCTGCCTGCTTGCTTCCCCAGCAACACCTGCCTTTGCTGACCTTTCTGTTCCCTCATGTTCTCCAAGATTAATGGCTCTGAAGGACCTTGCTTGTTTTTTTTTTTTTCTTTTTTCCTAAAGGGAAAATGAATAGGAATGTGTTTTTTACAAAATATTAAGACCTTACAAAAAAAGTTACAGTAGACAGGCATACACACATGCACACACAGATGAAGAAGTAAAGGAAGCAAACCATGTGTCTGTTTTTGATGTAAATATCCCTTCCATGAAAGCCTCGGGAGGCATCCATTTGACAGGCAACATTGCACACCCACCCTTCCGATAGTAGCTGGCTCTGCAGAGAACAAGAAAAGCAGAGTCAGCCATGAATTCAGAAAGTGTTATTAATTCAGGATTTGTATAACTATGAATATTAACGTTATCAGCTGGAGGACAGACTAATTTAGGCAAAGCAGCATGGCAGAGAAAATGCTGAAGAGGCCTGTTTCTTTTCAAAAAAACAGTGGAAATGGGCAGGCTGTGTAAGGACTGCTTTGCAACCTCCCTCACCTTAGGCTTGATCCAGTGAACCTGAATTATCCTTATCTACATGCATACTCAAGTGACTTACTCACATAGTAAGATGCTGCTGGCAAAGCAATTATCCTGCACTTTTCAGCCACAACAGGATCTCCACCTCATCTCACAAGTCATCACCTCAAGCATCCCTATCAAAAATAAACAAAGCTTTTCCCAAATATACCCAGTCTTCAGCACTGCAAGTGGAATCCCAAACCCTTATTAAGACCAACAAACAAGAAGGAGAAAGTTTGGCCATTATTACCTGGGACAGGAGATAGAAAAATCACTTCTTATGCTCCTGAGACAGAAGGGACTTCATTTGTTTTGTGATTTTCACTTAAAATAAAACCTACAAGCCCCAAGTCCTGTGCTGTTGGTTACAGTAGACTGCTCATGCAAGTCAGTATCACTGTTCATAACTATGCAGCCTGAGCATCTGAAGGGTATTCTCAGACACTGGAACGTGCAAACTTCAAAAGCAACTCTGAAAACTCAGCACCAAAGCATTCATCTTGACAGGTGGTTCTGCTGACTGTATGTGTGTGACAGATGTTACTTTTTCCCAGCAGAGTCCGATATGACAGAGGAGCAGGGTCTTTTTGTGAGAAGGGAGATAGGGAAGAAAAAAAGAAAAAAAAAAAGGCAGTTCTCATACACTTGGTTTTTGAAAGTAGCACTCTGTTAGCATCACCTCAGGCTGTCATACTGGCAGACCTCAGGCTAAGCAGAGGCAGGCCTGGCTTAGTCATTGCACAGAAGAATCCCCAAGCAGGAAAAAGAGAAGCTGAAGCTCTAGAATAAACAGTGTATGTGACTGAGTACAAGGCTTTTCTTCCTCTGAGTCAGAGGCAAATCAATTCCCCAGCACAGCAGCACATGGTGCTATAGCTAGAGGTGCTATTTAGAAGATGAGATATCAGACTGCAGCCCTGACTGCTCATGGTCATTAAAGGCTTCCTGATGATTCTTGCAACATCAGAGTAGTTAACCCTATGTCCTGGCTGAATTCCAGTTTGTGTGATTACATTTCTCTAACCTTCCTCTGCACCTTCCTCCTTTACCTGCATTAAATTGCAGAGATTTACTGATGACACCAAACCAAAGTGGGAGTGGTAGTATCAAGCAGAGGGATTAAACTCAAAAAGATTTAGGGTCACAAAACAGAAAGGCACATTAGTGCCATTCAGCGTGGAGAAAGTACAGGCAAGAAACTGTGGACAGAGTATGAGAGGGAAGAAAAAAGCCTTCCATAGCCATGAGGCTTCATTACACAGAAGAAAGCTCTTAGGGAGTATGAAAAGTCTCCATAGCACAGTTCAAAGCACAGTTCAAATACAGGTGAAGGCAAAAAATAAATTAAAATATTAGTTGGGATTCATTGGGGTTGGGTGTCTCCACTCTTGTCGTGCTAGAGTTAAACACAGCAGCATGTGAGCTTGCTGTCCTACATGAACACTGCTCATCTCTCATTTTAGTGAGCTTCCACTTGTGGATACCCTTGGCTTTAGCTGTTACCTGTATATATCCCGGGCCATGCCAAAGTCTCCAATTTTAGCCACTCTTCCAGGCCCTCGGCAGGTAAGGAGGCAGTTCCTGGCAGCAATATCCCTACAAGGAAAGGAAGAAAACCAGGAGTGAGAGAAGAATCACTTAATCATTTAATAACTTTGCAGAATAGTACCTATTTTCCTGAGGTGTAGAGACCACCCAGAAAAGTCAGTGTTTATGGGTAACTAGAGATGTCCCAAATTCTAATCTCCCCCAACAGTTTGAGCAGTTCCGCTCCTTAAAGACTTCCTCCTTAAACTTCACTTAATTTCTCCAGGGAGTTGCAAGCAGTGCAGCTGATTTCGGCAATGTACCAGTCCTAGCATCAAGATATCTGGGGAGTGATCCACTGACATGCTCCTACCATGCCAGTTCAAATGTTGTCAGACAAGCACCGTACTATCAGAGACAGGAAGAACAACATGCAGGTAGTGTTTTGAAGACAGGTATGGGCCTGAATCTGTGCATGCAGGTAAAGCTCCATCTCCATCCCTGCTGAGCTGAAGTACACCCTGAAACCTGAATAACATGGTGGCACCCCTTGTGGATAACTCAGAAAAGCAAACTACAGTCTGGCCATAGCAACTTCACAGCCCCTTGCAAAGCCACATGCTGGTACTGGGCTCTTCTGATGAGTGGCCACGCACTTTCATCATGAACAGCAGCAGTACTGGACTAGTGGGAGCCACAGAACAACTGCTGACAGCTTTACCTCCCTCCTGTTCTGCAGGAGCAGGTAACAGTAGTCACAAGGTGTACTTCTGGCTGTATTTGTACAGCTGTTCTTCAAGAGAGAGGAGAAAAGGGCTCCAGGATGAACAAAAAGACACTAAGCAAAATTCACAATGGAGAGGGCTTTGAAGACTTCTGTCACAGGATTGTGTTTCCCTTTGCCAAGGAGCCAAACTGGCTGCATAAGTGCAGGCGCTAAAAAAAGAGCTCAGGATCTCTGATAAAACTGCAGACCTTTGCAACCTGATCTACAGCAGCATTTCTGTTAATTGCTTCTATTGTTCTGATTTTATCTGCCTTGCTTAAAGTTGTTCAGCCACTAGAGAGCAGCAGGACATAAACATATCAAACAGGGCATTAGGAGTCCCTCTGGCCTGTCTGCAAGTCATGCCCTTGCTGACACAGATGCCTTCACCTACCTGTGAATGAAGTGGTTCTCCTCCAGGTACTGACACCCACAAGCAATGTCACGAGCCACATGGAGCAAGTCCAGCATGGAGAGGGAGGAAGGCTGGTTCTGCCAAAAGACAAAGGACAAATATGGCTTAAAAGCAAGAACACAGCATGATCGGTCATTGATACAACACAGGACATGCAGGCATGATTTCATACAAATCCCAGACAGAATGAGAACAGCTGGATGAAATTTCCCAGCTTCATCAGGATTCTCCTTTAAAGTTCTCCCCCTGTTTTGCAAGACACAAATGGATTTCCCCCAGTTCTCATGGGAGACACTTCTGAATTTTCAGCATGATAATTTTTTTTTTTTTTTTTTTTGAGGAGGTATGTTGCCTGAACTGGCCCTCAGACACTTTCCTTATATCATTTCTAGTTCTTCTCTAAAGTCACCTTCAACATTGAGAATGACATTTTGTATAATGGCATGAGTCACATTTACTCTTTCCCTCCTACACATCCGTGTAGGTTTTATCTTGCCCCTCAGAGCATTGACACAGGTTTGCTTAGCCAATGGCTATGGAAGATGAGGGCTGCTAACTGCCTCTGCCTCTGATGAAGTCTATGGCCTTAGCCAGCAGGGGACAGATGCTTTTGTGAAAAGGGCAGGCTGAGCAACAGCTCACATAGTGGGCTGAAACCAAACCACCAGCTCCTGCTCTGAGGTGTTAACCAGTGATCCCTGTGGCCAATCCTGTGGGGGAGGAGGGAACTAATTCTGCCAGAGGGCAGACAACAAACAGCTGGGTGGCAGTGATTGCTTATTCCACAGCAGCCATTTGCCTGGTAAGTGTTTATCTGGGGCCTTAGATATTTGACTAAGCAAACCTCTCCCACCCTCTCTCTGTTGACACTTACCATTCTGCCCAGTGCTCAAAGGGCACGCTTGTGCATGGGTCTCTCCTACTGATGAACAAGCCAGCGCCAGTTCTCCAGTAATAGAGACTGCTGGATCTACCAGCCTGTCTGCTGTAGTTGTAAAGAAACTACTCAGAATGATGTGGTGCTGAGCCACTTGCTCTAAAGCACCACTAACTGGGACTGAAAATAAGTCTGTGCTCTGCAGCAAGCTCTGCAGGCAACAGCTAAATACTGGACATTATCTAAACCTAAAAAAAAAAGTCCTCATGTTTTCTTAAGAGGTTAGGAAAGACCTGGCCTCAGTGCTTGACTAATGAAATAATTGAAATAAACAAAGCTTGTTTTTTCTGTGTGGTGTCATAAAACAAAATGACAACATATCACCTGCCTATATGTTATTGTTTACTCAGCATACTTCACTGCATATATATACATATATGCTTAAGTCTATATACATATATGCTTAAGACTTTAAAAGTCTGGACTGTTGTGTGTCCCCCTCCCTCCCCCCCCTTTTTATGCAGCATAGCCATTTCCTAAAAACATGAAAGCCTCTCCCCCACCCACCAAACACTATCTGGGGGAGGGGAGAATCATCTTTTTCACCTCTCTGAGTTGAAGTGACTCACCAGCTCCAACAGAGCTACAGGAACAGAGGATGCCGGTGCCTTCCCCTCCCACCCCCCCCACCCTTCAGGGAACAACCAAGGGGAAATGAATACCTCAGACTACCCATTCCTCTACATCTGAGCAAGGCTCAAAAACCTGAAGTGAAAGCTGAGCAAAAATCCCCGTTCTTTACTGCATAATCAACTGCAGACCTGAGCTATGCTGCAAGGCAGCCTGTACCTTGAAAACAAGCTGATTTGACCAACATAGCTTTTCTCTCCCTCTTTCTTTTTCTTTTCCTTCCTCTCTCCCTTCTTGGATGAATTCTTTCCACCTTTTATGCTGCTAAAACAGATGTGACTGCCCAGCCAAGGATGCTTTAGCCATGTAATTTGTTTGAAAAATGAAGGGTTTGGATTCATTTTGCAAGAGATGCAGCCTTGAGGCAGCAAAGAATTCACTTCACAGCTGTTTACAGCTTTTGCTCCCTAGATGAATGGACAGCGCTCAGAGCAGGGGGCATGCTAGAAGCACTAACGTGTCACTAATGTGACACCTTCCTTCGGCAGCTGAATCTTGCAAAAGGTGAATGAAATTCTGTGTATTGTTCACTGTAATCACTGCTCTGTGCAACAGGCTGCACAACACAACAGGAAACTAGGCTTTATCTTCCAGAATTGTTCTTTGATTGCTTTGCTATGAGTGAGAAAAACTGGCACTGAACTTCTTAGAATGGACAATTCTGCAATGCTCCTATTTCAGGCATCTCTGGATCTACCAGGACTGCCTCTATCCAGAAGAGAGGGATGGAGATATCCTGTAATGGATATGAACTTCATTACAAATGGAATGGAGAAACCCCTCAGGGCTGGGGTTTTCTGGACCCATGGAGAAGCTTGAATCTGAAACTTACAGAGTAGGCCTGGCTGTCATAAACTGACAATTTTCCACGAGTGACTTGCATTGTGTTGGGCAAGCCATCCCAATGCCTAGCCATTCTTTCGGAGAAGAAATGTCTCCTAATTTCCAACCTAAACCTCCCAGCTGCAACTGCAACTTGAGGCCATTCCCTCTAGTCCTGTCACTAGTTACCTGTGAGAAGAGGCCAACCCCCAGTTCCCCACAGCTTCCTTTCAGGTAGTTGCAGAGAGCAATGAGGTCTCCCCTGAGCCTCCTCTTCTCCAGGCTAAATAACCCCAGTTCTCTCAGCTGCTCCTTCTCTGGACACGCTCCAGGGCCTCAATGTCCTTCTTGTAGTGAGGGGCCCAAAGCTGAACACAGCATTCGAGTTGTGACCTCAGCAGAGCAGAGTACAGGGGACGATCACCTCCCTGCTCCTGCTGGCTGCACCATCCCTGACACAGCCAGGATGCCGTTGGCCTTCTTGGCCACCTGGGCACACTGCCGGCTCATGTTGAGGCGAGCATCAACCAGCACCCCCAGATCCTTTACCTCTGCACAGCTTTCCAGCCACGCTGCCCCAAACCTGTAGCACTGCACGGGGTTGTTGTGGCCAAAGGGCAGGCCCTGACACTTGGCCATGTTGAACCTCATCCCATTGACCTCTGCCCATTGACCCAACCTGTCCAGGTCCCTCTGCAGGGCCTTCCTACCCTCTGGCAGATCAACAATTCCCCTCAACTTGGTGTCACTGCAAACTTACTGAGGGTGCACTCAATTCCCTCGTCCAAATCATCAATAAAGATATGAAAGAGGATGGGCCCCAACACCGACCCCTGGGGAACACCACAGGTGACCGGTCACCAGCTGGATTTCCCTCTGTTCACCACCACTCTCTGGGCCTGGCCATCCAGCCAGCTTTTACCCCAGCACAGAGTGTACCTGCCCAAGCCATGGGCTGCAGCTTCTCCAGGAGAAAGAATACTGTGGGAGACCGTGTCAAAGGCCTTGCTGAAGTCTAGGTGTACTATGTCAGCAGCCTTTCTCTCATCCACCAGGCGGTCACCTGGTCATAGAAGGAGAAGAGGTTGGTCAGGCAGGACTTGCCTTTCATGCTGGCTGGGCCTGATTCCCCAGTTGTCTTGCACATGCTGTGTGATTGCACTCAGGATGGCCTGTTCCACAACCTTCCCTGGCACTGAGGTCAGGATGACAGGCCTGTAGTTCCCCGGGTCCTCCTTGCTGCCCTTCTTATAGATGGGCTTCACATTAGCAAGTCTCTGGTCATCCAGGACCTCTCCAGTTGACCATGACTGCTGACAGATGATGGAAAGTGGCTCAGCAACCACATCCACAGGTAGGTAAGAGCAGAGTTTAAAATATGTATATATATATATATACAAGTATATATATATACACATATATATGTATATAAGATTTTGATTTTATTCTTTAGATAGTGTCTGCAATGCTATCTAGCAAAGTCCAGGCATGAGGCTCCTCTGTGTAACCCCAACAACACTTGTTTCCTATATGACAGATATAGACAATATACTTCCTCCAGATCAGCCTTCTAGTAATAAAAAACTCTGACTCTCTAAAATGCTGGGAAATAGTAGCTGCATGGATTAGTCTTTTTATAGTTACCTATTTGCCTTGTGTCATCAACGTACTAAATACAATTCAATTTTCTTACCGGTCTAGGCCGTGTCTCTCTCAGGAACGATTTCAGGTCGCCTCCAGCCATAAGCTCTAGCAGGATGAAACGGGGCAGTGCCTGCAAGCTCACTCCAATACAGCGCACAATATTCTGATGATTGAACTTGCTGCGGAGACAGGGAGGCTCAATAATGGATCAGCTTTGATCCAAAAAGCACAATTATAGAAAATAATCAAAATATTTTGCTGTGGGGAATTGTGTTCATTTTTTTTTTTCTGTTTGTTCTTGTGTTTGTTTTCAGAATAAGTAACAAATCCCAAAGGCATAGTAACTGGATAAAGGCAAAGTGCTACCCTTGCAATCCGCCTGTCTACACAGTGCAGAAACGGTGATTGGAGGAGGAGTGGATTGAAGGAGTGGCTTCCTATATTTTGCATCCTTTTTGTGCTACAGCAAGATTTGTGGGTCATATGAAGCAGAAAATATCTGTTAAGAGTTTATCCCTGCATTCCCTCTCCTGGGGTAGAAGCTGGGATAGGGCAAAATTGTTTCAAATAACATACTGATACAGGGATCATCTTATTGAAGGGATATTCCTCAAGGCCAAGTGCTAATTGTTCCTAATTTCTCCAGGCCTTAATGTGATAGGAAACTATTTCCTTGGATTCTAGGACACAGTCACTGACATATGAAATGACAGCAGCATTGTGTCAATGGCATCTCTTCAGTCAAACCAAAACTCCAGAGGTTTGTTTTTTCTTCATGCTCTGGTCTCTAAGAGAAATCTGGAGCCCCCAGCACAAGAAGGATGTGGAGCTGTTAGAGCAGGTGCAGAGGAGGGCCACAAAGATGATCAAGGGACTGGAGCACCTCTCATGTAATGAAAGGCTGAGAGAGCTGGGGCTGTTCAGCCTAAGGAAGAGAAGGCTCTGGGGTGACCTCATTGCTGCTTTTCAGTACCTAAAGGGGGTTTATAAAAAGGAAGAAGGACTCTTTCCTTGGGTAGATAATGATAAGTCAAGGGGCAATGGTTTTCCAGAGGTTAGAAGGACATAACCATTAGAGGTTAGAAGGACATTTTTCACTCAGAGGGCAGTGAGGCACTGGAACAGGTTGCCCAGAGAGGTTGGGGATATCCCATCCCTGGAAGTGTTGAAGACCAGGCTAGATGAGGCCCTGAGCAACCTGATCTAGTGGGTGGTGTCCCTGCCTATGGCAAGGGGGCTGGAGCTAGATAGTTCTTGAGGTCCCTTCCAACCCAGGCCATTCTATGACTCTATGCTTCTATGATTCTATGATCTTATTATCAATTCTGAAAACTGGGCCTAAAGATTTTGAATTTGGATAATGAAAACTAGTGTGGACCTTTGTGAAAATGTTGGCCTTAATCATCTGGTCCCTTAGTTTCTTCATTTGTAAGAATAGAATAGGAAAGTAATGCCTGTCCCTACTGTAAAATATGGATCACTGTGGACATCACCTCCCAAAGCACCTTTTTTTTCTTATAGTGCTGGGCTTTGCAGACCTATATAAGTCTTTGTTCATTTTATTCATACACACCTAATAATGAGAGCTTCCATGAGGAAGTCCAGCTCATCTTGCTCTGAACACACTTCTGGCAACGTCTGAAAAAGAAAGAACAGGTTGACAAGGAGATGTTTAAACTGACAGCTGTAGAACACCTGACACAATCAGAAGCACTAACATCTTTGTGGTGATCCTTGTTTCTCCAAAAGAAACCTCACTCTAATAATAGCTAGACCATTATAAACTAGACCGTGAAGCATGTTGAAAGATAAAGATCAGGATGCATTATCCATCAATCACACTGTCATCCTCCTACCAGTGCAGGAAATACAACAGAGTGCAAAGGGAACAGTGCTGATATATGGGACTCTACTGTGTAGAGGAGGAGGAATGAGACCATAGCTCCTGAGCTCTCAGATAGTTCAATACCACTACCTCCCAGCAAAACTAGGAGCTATAACCAGCAGTAGGATTATGCTGTTATATAACGTCTAGGAGAAAACAAGCTAGCCAAGCTTCTGAAGGACTGAAGTACCCTACAAGGGCCCCTTAGGATTTAGCTATGCACCCAGTGCATATCCATCCTGTAATGGAAAGACTCCTGCCTACAGCCTCTTATATGTATATGCCAGCTGCTCTTGGCTACATTAAGACTTCTGTCCCTCTGACTCAAAGACTTTGGACAGGTTACCACACCAGGAAGAGCATGCAGAGAATGGACAGAGGGTGGACTTGTTTCTCATTCTTGTAGTCTACTGCAGCTGTATAGGAAATCTTTGTCTACTTAACTACTTACAATCAACTTCTTTTTATAGAAAGCCCATATGTAACAAGCTGTACCATCACTTTGATGGATGGAAGTGTTGCAATAGGACAGCAACCTTTCTAAACACATCCTTCAGTGCTACAGAAATGTTTAATCCGTCTTCATCTTTATAATGCATTGGGACTCTTAGGTGGAAGGTGCATGAAACCATCATGATAACTCATACACTGTCACTTACTTTCACAGCCACCTGCAAGGGAGTGGGGTCGCTGGGGATCCCTGCCACCTGACCTTCATATACCTCACCAAAGGCTCCGTGGCCCAAACCCCTGGACAGACCAGAGAAGACAAGAAGGTATTACTACAGAGAACACACGTTATAATGCTGTGGTCACAGCTCACAGAATGGGGTCAGAGTTTTCATGGCAGCAAAACAGGCAGAACTGGATGTTGGCACTGTTATTTCTGATAATTCTCCTTATACTACGCAGCAGATGGGACCTTGATGTAATCTTTCCTGGACCCACAATGTCTTTAACTGGTAGGAAAAACAATCCTCAGAAAGGAACTGTCCCCAGTGAAATTGAACTGCTGGCACTACAGAGTGTAATGGGTAGCACTTTCTGCTGCTTTGGTGCCAGTGCTATAGTGGTGGGTTCTCCACAACAGGTCAATAAAGACAGGTCTTAAGCCTTGGCATTTACACACCCTAAGCATAATAGTTCCCATGTTTATGCATCAGTACTAAAGAAAACATTGAACAAGAAACTAGAAAGCACAATGGTTGTCAAAGGACCTGAATTTTAAATTAAGGATCTTTCCCTTGTTTGGTTTGTGATTCTGGGTAAATAAATAGTGATGACAGCACTTTGTAAAGCTCTAGGAGTTCACGCTGAGAATTGTTACTGTCACCGATCATATTATGAAACTTATAGTTTTATTTTGATTAAGGATGCAGGGAAAAAAAAAGGGGGGGCTTTCACTAAGGCTCTCTTCTACAACACGCACTTTCCTGGTAGTGCCAGGTCTGACCTCAGAGCTGCACTGAGTGTCCTCCAGTCTGATGTGGACTGTATTTGCATGGGCCATTGCCCTCCTAGTTCAAACAGGGGCTGCTAAGAGCAATCTACTCTGTTGAGAGCAGTGAAACAACAGTGAGGACTTGCACTGCCCGTGACTCAACCACTTCTTTAATAACATTTTGTAGGTATCAGCTTGAGACACCATTGTCTGCTCTGCCTGACCAACTTATTACAAACTAAGGATATAAAACAGATCTCTACAGCTCATAACTCACCCACCTCCCCAAAAGCAAAACTTCCCAGCCCCATCAATTCCCAGCTGCATCCTTTGTTCTCTGCAGCTTGCCACACTTCAAAAATTCTTTCAGAGCCCAAGTGACAACAGCAGCAGCAACAGAGGGTAAAGTTTTGGTTACACCAGAAACTTCCAGATGCAGTACAGCAAGATCTGCAGGTAGGGGAGAACGTGATAAGAATGTGATATGTCTGCAATGCACTGCAGACTGCATGGGCTACTCTGAACATCATCTTTTTTTAGCACCATTAGGTCCCCTATCATCCAAGCTCTACTTTCTGCTCCTACTTCTTGGATTTTTGTTTAACAAACATGGTACCAGAGTAATGCCATATTCACAAGTGGTGTGCACTGCACAGCACAAGCAGAGCAGGGTGGGAAAGAATTCTGAATTTTCAAGTCTTCTGTAGGAGACTATTTCCAACTTTACAGAAGTTCTGACCTAGACCTGTCTATCCTGCTCGCTTTATATTGCTGTCTTTTTAATTCTGTCTTGCAGCCTCAAAACCATTACTTTTCCGCCTACTGTATTTAAAGATGTCATTCTCTATACCAAAGGTCCCAAAGAGTGCCCTACAAGCCTCAGGCTTCCTAGCATTTCATCTGTTAATGCTGGAAATTGGCCATTCATTCCAAGTCTGCAAAAGATGTGTCCAAATTACTCGTGATGACTCTTCAGTTCCTCTTATGATTCTAGAAGATTAACACAGCACCTGTAAAAGGTTAAGGAGACAGCCGAAGTCTAATCCATTCCACATAAACCTAACTACTGCAGATTTATTATCTTTCTAGTGAGAAGGGGCATGAGTCTAAAAGTGTGTGAGTATTTGCATGTGCCTTTATGAGTTCAAACCTGTGTAAGAGAGCCAGCATATGTCAGTATACAACATGGGGCATAGGGAAGGCAAAGATGAACTTACCGGATGAGGGAGATGTTTTTGCGAGGCACCTCTTTGAGGTCACTAATGGATGTGGTCTTTCCTGCAAAGCAGTAGTTGGGATTATAGTCTGTCATAATAGTGGAGGTACGCAGCTTGCTTAGTTTATATTCTGGGCTCTGTAATTCCATCTGCATGGCTTGTAGTTCCTGGTGTTTCCGACGATATACTAAATGTAGAGAAAACAGTAAACCAGAGACACATATTCCCTTTGGAAGACAACAGTAGCTCTGTGCTGCACATCTCACTGGAATTAGATGCATGGTCAAATTCCAGTGAATCGAAACAAACAGTGACCACTCACATTTCTGCACATCAAATAGTTACAGATTGAAAAGGGAATCTGAAGTTATCCAAAACCCTTTGATTTACATATGTTATAAAGAAGCAGGCTTGCTCAAAAACTGCTTGGAAAAAGTAAAATGAATTTCACTTGCAGAAATCTCTGATTTCACAGATTTGAGGTTTTTCTTTTGTCCTGTTTAGTTTAGTCAAATCCAATCTTGAGAGACTCTTGCTATAATCAATTTTTCTAAATCATGTAGAAGTGACTAAAAGCCTGAAATAAATTATTGTATCACATTGTTCAAGAAGGATAGACTAAACTGTTACCTCAGAATAAAATATTGTACATAAAATTTATTTATTTTGCAAAACTTCCGCTGTTCCTAAACAACAGAATTGGACTAAATTTGAAATCAGTTTAAAATCGTTTTGTATTCCTTGAATCACTTCACTGATATCCATGAAATCTCATTGGAAATTGTTAAATCTGTATGTAGGCACACAAATAGTTTTTAGATATTAAGCACCAACAGCTCTCACAAAACCAGTGACACTTCTGTCCTGGCAGCTTTATACCACAACAAAAACAACAATATCTCTTAAAAGATGCACTCAGTAACTGAAACCTCCTCAAATTGGTCAATGTGGTTAGAAACAACTACAGAAAACTGACGTTAAGGAGTACATGGGGGAAGGTGTCATTAAATACAGCAGTAGCTAAAAACCTGAACCTTTTTTCTCCCAGGGCCCAATTATTCTTGGTTCAGATACGGCCCTCATATGAAAATATCATTCGTAGAGAATCACTCACCAATCATGATTCCTGAAAAAGCCAAAATTAAGGCAGCAACCAATGCTGAAGTCACTACAGACAAGACCAAGGAGAGAGGGAGATGAACCACTGGTTCAGCTGTAACAGAAGCATGAGAAAAAGGAATTACATTTAAAATGATCTTTCAGTACTCACTTTTTTTGCAGGCAGATTTTTCTGCTCTTCCCTCCATTTACTCATCTGCTGCTCCTATAGTGTAGAAGCAACCTCTGATATGATCAGCTCTCAGGATCAGGACCTCAAATATCTCATTATTTCACTTCTCTATTTCTGATATTAATTGATATCAATCCATTAAAACAGATGGTTTTCTATCAAGGAATTAACACGCACTCTCTGGGTATAAAAACAAGACCATAAAAGCTGGGGACAGGAGCTGGAGAGATGGAAAGAACATTAAATTGCCCGGTCTAGAGTGCCACTATCAATGACAAATCAGAGCAAAAGCAGGAGGACTGCGATATATCATCTCCTAAATGTGTCTAACCCAGGCAGACAAAACTGGTAACATGTGCAGCACAAAGTACTCCATGGCTGCATCCTCACTTGGATCACAGACCTCTCAATGAACATCTATTAAGGTTCACTTCACCCAGCAAAATGACCACGCTTTTTACCCACTTTACAGATGGGGATGGTGAAAGTACAGAACGATTTTCCCTTACCAATGACAAAGCTGAGAGCAAGATCCTGAAACCCTGGAATCACTTGCTGTAATAGCTGGGCAAGAACATGAAGGAAACCTAGTAACTAGCATTCAGTTTCTCAAGTAAAGCAAATACAGGTACTGTTTTCTTCAGAGATCCCTCATGCAGAATTTCTTACAGATTCTGCACATGCACTTTATGTTTCCAAATCTACAGGAATTACACCCTTCTGTACCTTGTACTTTTGTTGTTGTTTTAAGAGGACTGTCCTGGAAGTTAAGCTTAGCTGGAAAATTCCTTCAGTGAGTAAATGTTCAATATTTCAGAGCAAAATGGAAGCATCAGTGCAAACAGACATGCTGCTCTTTGTCTCTAGAAGACAAAATTTGACTCACAACACTCAGTGTTGCCCAGTATGCCAAACATATACTATAAAGCAGACCAGTGACGCTACTGTTTGCACCATACCTCTGCACTGATGTGCCTGTGTTCTAGCAAAATAACTCTTCAGCAAATACCAAGAGGAAAGAAGGTAACATGCAACAGAAAGCCAGTTTTAAGAAAGAGAAAGAAGACTTTCTGCATGTTTACATGCAGAAAAATGGAAATTAAAAAAATCTACAGATTTTTACCATTCATTTTCTGTTTCATACCCTATCAGCCTATCCCTTACATCTACTTACCTACACAAGACACACCGTCCTCAGCCAATTCTGTGCCCGGCTCACAAAAGCAAATGACTTTTTGAGTCTCAGGATCAACACGGCACTCGTCCATCTCACAGTGACTGCAGTTAAGGTGCAGCCTAATATCAACCTCTCCATGCCCCTCTGTCACTAGGGAATGGATGAAAGAAGCCAAGTTAATTACTGTAAAGATCAGTCATATTGTTCCCTTGGTCCTTTTCTCATGTGGAAAATAATGTCCAGCTAAATGAGCCCCGCTGCAGCTGAGGTGCACTGGCCCTCTTTCAGCAGGTAGTTCTACCAGGTTAATAAGGAGGCTGTTGCCAAGCCTAAGAAAAAAGGTTTTCTCTTTCCTGGTCCTTACCCCCTCTGCGATAGAACACTGCAACGTTTTCAGAACCCTTTGACTGAATCTATCAGGCCAGAGTCTGTTTGTATTTGAACATACTTCTGGCTGCTCTAAAGCAAACATTTTTTTGATCAAATATATATTTTTGTTATTTTCTGAACGCACTGAAAACACATCCAACACACAGACTTTTGGGCAAACAGGCTTAGGGAAGACTGGAGTGGCAGTAGTTCTGGGAAGCACAAATGCTTCACTGGACTTTGTTAAGCAATCTTTCTCCCTCGTGTTCAGAATGACACTAAGCTGTATCCAAAGGCTTTTAAAGTGTCCTACAGATGCAAACTATTCTTAACATGGAAGAAACTCACTAAAAGAGACTTCTGACCAACATGAATACCTTTAAGTGCTGGAGTGTATAAAGTACCAATTGGATTAATAAAGGACACACCATCCTCCCCATCCATCTCTGGGTCATTGTCCTCTGCAGCATTTCCACCTACATCAAACCAGAAGTTACCTTAACAGACTGAGGCTCATTAGCACTAAAATACAGATAAGCATGCATGGCTTCAGCGCATTTAGGGAGGCATCCAAATGAGAAAAGAGAATAAATCAAAGTATTCAACATATAGGGAACGCTTAGTGAACTGTGATATGAAACACTGGATTTCCACCTCTAGAACTTCATTTTAATAGCTGCAGATTGCTACACCTGCAGATTGTTACACCCTTAGTCCTGTTTTAGGCAGACTGTTTCAAACTAAGGGAGGAAGTTCATCTTTAACCATTTGGATGCTGTGAAAACATATAAGCCCTTCTCAATATTAATGTGGCCAACAGACTGGAAAACACCAGTGCTCATGGGCTAGTTCAGTATCCTTGTTGATTGAGGTAAGTACTGCATCAGCAGAGGGAATAAATTATCTGCTATCCTTCTTCTCCTTTGCACCCTGAAAGCAGGGTGGTCCACCAGGAATGGAGACTGAAGGAATTTATACTTGAGTTGCTCACTTGTGCTTGAGCATATAGAACATATCAGGAGCAAAGTATGGGAAATACATAGAACGTGGCAGAAGCATAGTATAGGCCATATATTTTGTACTAAAAGCATGCAAAGATCCCCCCACCCCACCCATCTTTATTCATCTTTAACCATCTTCAGTGCAAATCAAAATTATATCATGTAAGGCATTCTGTTGGAAAAAAGAAGCATTACGCAGAAACATTCATACAAAACATGCACTTAATCATTTAAACTCATTACTTCTCAGGATTTCAAGCCTATCATGGACTTGATTTAAGCTGTGGAGAACAAGGGGTTAAAACATCCACCATAATGCAGATGGCTGAAGAAACTACGTGGCCCAGGAGATTAATGATTAGTGGAGATCTTGAACCCGGTCCACACCAGTTATAATCAACATAACGCCATCTGACAGCTGTCCTGAGACCCACAGCACATGGAATTAGTTCCTTGTTGACTGAAGTCAACACCACTGTCACTATTAAGAGGGGTTCTGGCTGGCAGCCTGAGCCCAGGAACCAAAGGACAGTGGAGACCACCTGCGTAGGACTGAGGAAGAAGAAGCTGCGTCCTTCCCCTGGCAGAAATATGCCTGGCTGCCAGTCTCCAGGACCAAAATACTCAAAATACAGGTGCTGGCAATGGAGCACCCAGGCTGTGGCTCCTGCTTCTTCAGTGCTGTAACCCCAAATGGGTTAGTGCTCAAGAATCACAGCAGGATCTTGATGGCACATTCTTTCAGAGTGCAACGCCAGGATTACAGCTGAAGGACTGACATCTGGCTGTTTGCTCAAAGGCTAAATGTCGTATGTTCATCTAGTGCTAAAAAGGAAACACACAGACATACTAATACGTAAAGTCTATAATCAAATATGCTATCCACAGGAGAATTATCTATCAGCCTTTTGCTAATCATTAGCACTAAAGGAGGGGAAGGGACACCTTGAACATGAAGCCACTTTACCTATATATCCTCCGCCTCCTCCACCTGAGGAGCACCCCCCTCCACCCCCTCCGAAACCCCCTCTTGTCTCCCACCCCCACTTCTTCATGGCCTGGGGGCAGGATCTTCCTCCAGTAGCACCTTCTAGCAAGGATTTTCCTGACCACAGGAAGGAAGTGTTATCATTCCAGCCACCTCCACCACCTGCAGTTAAGAGAAGAGAAAAGGCATAGCTAAAGGTTATTTTTGTGTAAAAAAAAAATCTGTAGGGAACTGCGGAACAAGCACTCATTTAAAACACCTCATCTGAAAGTAAGAATCTCATTCCTTTGTTAGAAGAGATGTCCTTGCAATAGAGTGCTACAGTGACCTCGTTTTAGGGCTTTCGACCGTGTTAAACATCTGCACCTCTTTTCACCTACTATGCAAGGACTAGTATTTCCAATGGAAAATGTCAAAAGGTATCCCTACCTACTCCCCAACCACTTGTTACTGGCTTACTTCCCCTTCTCTTCACAAAAAAATACTTAAAAAAAATCCCTATGTCATTTCTAACACAGAACAAAAGGCATTTATTGAAATGGATGTGAAAACATTTCCCAGCCCTGCTCAAAATACAACATACCACTAACTCACTTTCAGCTTTGCAGATTGTTCGGTCCAAGGTCTCTAGACAGAGTGTGTAATTGTGCTTCTTCTGCATGAGCCAGGGAAACTGTGAGTATGTATACACAGCACAAAATCGTGCAAGAAGATGGATGGTCTCAGAAAACTCCCACATCAAAACAAAAACAAAAAACAACAACCAAAAAATAAAACAAACTTTGCTTATCAGAGGTACTACATTACTCTGGGAGAACGTTGCCATTGCTATGGCTATACAATCTTTGATACCCTTATTTAGGCCAAATATCCCGTATTGTGGGTACATCCTACATGTATCTGTTATAATTCCATGCTCCTCAGACTGTGTTTTCATGAGCTGCATGTCAGCTCCACTGAATCTGAGAGCACCAAATACTCACAATATTTTTCTTAAAAAGAACAAACTTTCCATACCTGCAGCTCCTGAATTTCCATTCAGCCCTGGAACAGAGGAATCATTCTCCAGCCTTTCTGGATGAAATGTGTCAGTTTTGGCCCTGTAGGCCCTGCCACCACCGCCTGCTGCAATTATCAAGGGGACTGGTTCTCCATTCTCCATCTTAACAAGTTCAGAAATAGAGGCAGTATTCAGACTGAGTCAGACTCACAGATGGAAGTTCAACCACATGCTCGTTACTGCTGAGCACTACAAATTAACATTGCATTATTTATGTACCAACATCCACAAGATTAATGAACTGCACTAATCCTACCAAGTTCTGCAACTGAGAACAGTGGCATCAGCAGCTCTGTGAATTGTACCTACAATACTGATAGATCTTATAAAGCTTGTAATGCTACTGTGTGATAACTTTTATCAAATGAAACAGATAAGGGGAACAGCTCTACCTAGTGCAATACAGTATCTCCACTGCTAAGGGGCAGCTACACTGGAAACTGCCTGAGCATGCAAAGTTATGTAGAATTATGTAGAAGCTGGGTGATTGAAACGTATTAACAATGGTGTGAAACTGGCATTTGCAATGAGTACTGTCTCAGAGAGAACACAACAGTAAAGATTAAGTGTCCTCTAGCTACAGGGTTGCACATAGAAAATATACAGGCTATATTCAATTTTTCTTGTCATTGCATTGTATAAGCCACAAATGTAGCTGAAGTTTAATGTTCTACAATGACAAATTTGAATAAAGTCCTGTGGAATTTGCCCTTTGCTGTAGTTTTATGCTTCAGAATCTTAGCTTGCATTGAAAAGAATCTGATTCAAACTGATGCAAAGGAAATTCCAAGACACTAAAGCAAGTGTGGCCATACCATGTAGCTATTCTGAAATGTGTGAAGAGCCAGCTCAGCTCACCACAGCTATCAACTGGAAATGAAGGACATGCAGAACTCACTGTGTGGACCTTTTCCACGAAGTGCTGTACAAAGGTGTATAAAGGGCTCTAAAAATTTTCAAGCTGTGATGTTGGAGGCAAGTGGCAAGATGTGTTTATGCTGAAGGTGCACAGACTATTTCCATACCTTAAATATATAAGTTGCTCCGCCCCCACCTCCACCTCCTCCTGCCCATTCATTGACACTTCTGTTTACACGTATCTCTTCTTCAATCACATTGTTTTCTCCAATACAGACTTTCTGAATAACGTCATTAGTCTGAAAACAGAAGAGCAGGGCTGAATTCTGGCGAGAAACCAGAATCTCTCTGAGATCCTCATATACCCAGGCCTTGTGGTCCCTCTACCCTCCCAAACCACAGGTCCACATTGTCCTCCAGTGAAATGACATATCCAGTGGTGAATGCTCTTCTAGAAGAATCTTTTTTTTTTTTTTTGCTTCAGTCGTGGTTAGAAGAATTTGTTACCATTTTAATTGTATTATTTTAATGTGAAGTTCTGTGCTGATGTCTATCACCATGAAATACAGCTCCACGAACTGTTTAAATACAATATGTAGCAGAATTTCCTGCAAATGTTTTGTACTATTAGCCAGCTGCATTTCACAAGCAGGGGAAAGGAGTAACCAAGTAATGGGTTGGGGCCAGGCAGTCAGTGTATGTCTATCTAGAACTAAGGTGTATTGGAGATGTAGCAGAGTTAGCTTTACGGTCTACAGCATGGACAGTAGCAATGAGCTCAGCATAGATTAACCATTTATCCAGACTTCCAAGAAAGTTTTGTTGTTCCTCTCAAGCTTGTTTTGTAGCAGCAATGACATTATTATTACCAGAGCTAGCTTGGTTAAAGGCTACCAAAACAGGTGCTATCCCACCTTTGATTGCAACGTTGATACAATGTTAAAGAAAATTCATAACCTGAAAGCCTCCATATTTCCATGGTTTTCACCAGTTAGCACCAAATGTAATGAACTGTCTGCATTAGGCAAATCACTGAATTCACTAACTAATCTCAGACAACATTAATCTATCATTCCTAAGTACTTCTGGATCTAAATTAGCAATTAGCAATTTTTTAGCAATTACCTAAAAAGGGTAATTGCTGCTTCGATATTAAATTGGAGCACTAAAGTGCGTGACAAGATGGACTCTGCTTTGAGTATCTGTAAGCTGCAAGCACTGTTACTAGCTTATTTCATTTTATAAGTTTCTGAGTAACATGATCTTGTTATGCACACTGAATTCACTAAGTTAATGACGCTTTATGGGAAAATGCACAAATAATTGTATAGTGGGACTGTTCTTCTGTTTCCATCTGCTTTCACATATGTGTTTTCTTTCAGAAGAGGGACATGATAAAAACATCCTCCTCAGGTTACAGACTATTCTGTTACCACAGCATGTGTTCTAGGTTATGTCAGAGAATGAATGGCATCCATTCTGAGTGTGTAGTCTTATCTATGGAACTAAACAGTCCTTCTCTACCCTGTCTTCCCTTTCCTTAATTGATTTGGAGTTGGGTGGAGATGATTAATAAAATGGCAAAGTCAATGGCCCAGAGGAGTCACTAGATTACAACTGAATAAAAATAAAAATCCTTCACAACAAAGACATAGCTGATTAGAATCCAATCTAGTAAAGGTCCCTTCTACAAGTCAATACAATCTCTTTGCCTCCATGAAGGAATTACATTAGCACTCAATAAATTCTCACTAAGATTCCAGTGGCCTGCGATTTAATGAGTCCATATGTTAGACTGAGTTGGAATGTCCTACTTATAGACGTTAGATGGAAATTTGAGTTAGGGCATTTCCTATTTCAAAGAGGCTTCTTATTAATGGTTTGTTTGTAGATGTGTGTAATTCAAATTTTAACATTATTTACTTCAGCACCCAGCCTTGAGAACCCTTCTTTCTTGTCTACATTATTCAACCTTTTCCTGCTCTAAAAGACAGCTAAGCTTTCTCCCCTTGGATGCCAGCCATTTAAAGGTTGAGAAATGCACAGCATTTAAATGCCCAGCTCAAACCTGCAGGTAAAATTTCATCGCATAATGCTTAGTTCCCTCTGTAAGAATCTCTTATTCTCTTATCCTCCAACGAATGCTAAAATATTAACCTATTATTATGCCTGAAAAATGGCAGAAGTTGTTCCTTTCCATCAAGATATTTGCAGCAATGTTTAGTTAATAACACAAAGATGAGGATTGACTCAGCACTAATTCATTTATCTTCCCCGTTCCCATACAGAGAATAAGTAAAAGGCCCCGGTCAGGTTGGCATCTCCAGTTGCAGAGTATTATGACAATGGCAGGGCTGGATACAACAGCAGAACAAAGAGAAAGTCAGGGGGTAGGAAGGCAGGGTTTCTTTTCTCTCCAACCCGCCCCCCTGAGATGCTCTGAGATAGCAGATCACTCAGATGCCTGATCAGAAGTGTATTTTCAGTGGGCCCTGAATGTTGAAGGGGAAGTGAGCACAGTGACATGGTACTTTAGCTTTTGACATTCAAGACATCCTAGTAAAACTGTAGCTATCCCTTGAACCACATAACGTTAAATCCCCTAAGGACAATGATTTTCTCTGCAAACAGATAAAACTCCACAGACTTGTAGAAGGTATTAAGTCAAAACAGAAAGGACAGTCACTTACACTAGGACAAGCATCTTCTCCTTGCTGTCCCACCAAGATGTACAAAGTATCATCCTTCTGGAGGTCAAATATTCCCAGTACAGACACACCATGGGACCTCACCATAGTGTTCTTCCCTCCTTTCCCACCAGCTGCTCCATAGCCTGAGATGCTGCAGGAAAAAGAAAACAGGAATGTGGAAGATAATATTAACTACTTGTGGGCACTGAGTTCTTTGCACACCTCAAATGTGCATAGTGTCACAGGACCTTGCCCCAAAGACACTCTAAATACATCTAAACCCAAAGCTTGAAGACTGAGGTCTTCTGCTCTATATGGCTTGGGTAGCTACAAAACAGCTTCTTTCACACTGATTTGCTGAGGACACAGTGAGCAAGTCCCTGTAGTTTCAAACTTCAGTATATGAAAACCATCTTGTTTCTCAGAAGGCATACCATTGACAGGTTTGCAATAAGCACTAGGAAGAATGGAAGCAGAAGAACCAACAAATACAATGCATATGGCTAAAAGGACCATTATGTGCAAAATTGACAGAGAGACTTGAGAAAGCAGACCATAACTGGTCCTGACACTGTCGACCAGATGGGAAACAGTTCTGCAGTTTCCAGGACCAGAATGTAGAAGAGTAGATGGTCACGCTACCTGCAGTAAACAAGGAAGGCAAAAGCTCCCTGGCTTAACTCACAGTCCCCATGAACATCACACTATCTCTGGCCAGGAGTGGCTAGATTGCATACAGAGGCTGCTGCAGTCTGAGTTAAGGCATTGGGACTTTTATTTCAAGCAGCCAAGATTCAGAGGTTCTTATTGTTGTTGATGTATCCGAAGATTTGACTGTAGTACTGTATTGCTCAGCTCCTCTCCCTTTCTAAGTACATAAGCATTTTACATATTTGAAGCACTTTCTATTCACAGGCCTTCAAAGCACTTTATACATATCATCATAAAGCACACATCTCTGCTGCAACAAAACATGAAGTTACTTGACTTCACTAGCAAATGAGTGGTAAAGCAAGTTCAATTCAGATTTTATTTCAGCAGGTGATTCTCCACTGAATTTAATAGCTCTAAATAGCTATTTCCATGAGAGCAAAATTCAACCTGGAGCGTGTAAACAGTGACTGCAGGGCCAGGAATTCAAAATTTTCCCTTGGCTTCCTGCCCATTACACTAAAGGTGCTGCTCTCTTTAACTCCTTCTCTTCTCTAGCACATGGTGAGCCTTTGCCCAGCACAGTCCTGCAGGCAGTCTATAAGAAGAACAAGCCAGCAGGGCTCCATGTGCACAAGAACCCTGACAAGGTCGGGCAGGCAGCTCCCTCAGGGGACAACCAGTGCACTTTTAGCTATCTCCTTGCCTTAAAGATTAGCACAAGGAACTCACCTTGTGATACCACTCTGAGGCAGCCAGCATGGAGTAATTCTAATGTTGAAGTAAACATGGAGCAACAAGTGCCTCATAAAGCATGTTAGATCCTTGCAAAGTGACATGATTATGTTCATGCCACTCTCAATAACCAAAGCAATCATTCCTCAGTTAGGTTGCACTGGATCCAGCAGAAAAAGCAATGGACACAATACTGGGCTCCCCTGAACAGATGCTGTATGAACCTGAAGACTGAGCTGATTTGCTGTAGCATTTCATAATGGCTAATGAGGTGCACTATCAGGCACAGCAAGCTGGCAGGGCTAATCAGCTATGATTAGGGGACATATTTTTCTGTGTATGAACAGATTTTGCATACAAGCGATGATGTCAGGAAATTTGAAAGAACCCATTTTTGCCTCATTCAAAGGCTGCAGACAACAAATGGCAGATTTGGGTGACAGCCATTCCATATTTAAAACGCGTGTCACTATTTAAACAGATGGGTTATCTTGACTTCATGCTATAGCAGGATTCCTTTCCTTTTTTTTTTTTTTAAATGGGAGGGATCCATTTAACCATACTGTCACTGAAGAAAGACTCAGACCACCCTGAGCATGTGTAAGCAGAACACAGAATATCTTACAGTGTCTTCCTCCTTTTCTTTTTCTATGACATATGTAGGAACCAAAAAAAAACAACGGTGTCTTTGGTAAGGAGCAGAATGTGCATAGGGCACTGACAGTGCAAAGCAGTTCTGGAGAAAAAAAAAATCCCCCTCTAAGTAGATATGTTATGGGAAACACAGGAGATAGTTTTGAGAATATAAAAAAAATGCAGTATCTAGGCTGGCCAAATGAGAACAGCATCTTGCATTCCACAGTCCTAGGTTCTTGCTTTACTTTACAAGGAGAGACAATATGATAGAGAACAGTGGAAGTGACATCAAATGGGTCACACAGCAACATAGACCAAAGAGTCTTGCTTTTAAAACAGAAAGAATTTGTATAATGGATAGTTACATGTAATTTGTTACAGCTTACTTCTATCATACTTGATCTTACACCTAGATGTGGGATGACAAGACCTGAATGCTTAGAAAGAAATCCTGTAAAGAAAAACATTCTTTTATATTGCCTAATTATTATACAAAGTGCAGTCTCGTGGGATCGAACCAGCTGTTATGTCTACATCAGCATGAGAGCATGTAGTACCCTAACCTTCGAATAAAGCAGCCTACAGCACGTGGCAGCCTACCCAGGCCTTCATAGATGGTGGGGTTTTCTGGGTGTGGCCAGCTTGTGTTAGCAGAGTTTTGTAAAAAGTTGAGCTTTCCATCTTTGAATATTAATAATAATAAAGCATATTTTGTCTTGTCTTCACATGAGCTATATTTTTCTTATTAAATTACCAGGAATGTAACTCACTGCTCTACATTACGTAGTGTAAAATATACCGATGTACCGTAATAGCTTTCTTAATAGCCCAACAGCCAGCTGGAGGATTTTATCTCTGGGTCAGGTATATTGGAGATGGCTATCGGACTGACTTATAGGATGCACACTACAGCAGGTCTGCAGAGAGGAGCTGAATACAGGCGGTGGGTCCAAACCCTGGAAAATCTAGAATTGATATTGCAACTTGACATTTTCCTAAGGCTATACTGGGGTCTTTCCTGCCTCTTCAGTAGCTCAGAATCAGGAAGATGTCAAGTTAATGGGCCTAAGGCCTGTAATTGCTGCCTTCTTTCCTCAGGCTGTGAATTATCTACTATAGCCTTTAGAGGTGCAGAAAAGAATGTCACTCAGTTAATGATATTAGCCATTTATTATCTATACAGATTTTAAAAGTCTGTTATGTCTTTTATAGGACTTAAATAGACAGGTTCTTCCAGCAGGAGCCTCATTTCACCTGTGGTTCATATTGTGTAGCAAAAGTCAGCCTATTTTTACAATAAAATTTTGGCAATTTCTTGACCTGCGTTATTAAAGAAATGACAATGTTGTAAGTTTATTGGCTCTTCTCTTTTGGGCTATACTTTATATCTCTATTTACTGAATGCTGGTCCTGAAAAATTTAATTCACCTCAGGCAACTCATTTTTGATAGCTGAGTAAAATATCATTAATGCTTTTTTCATTACCATCAATCCTTGTGGTAATAGGCACTCAGGTAGAGCTTGAGGGTAGCCTCGCCTAACCATTTTCGCAAAACTGCTTTGCAGTAGACTTCTGTTAGAGACTGATATCTAGTCCGAATATTAAAGTCCTTTTTCAATAAAAAGAAAAAAAAATCAGAAGTAGCCAGTAAGTTTTAACTGAAATTTGTCCAAAGCCTTCACTGGAATTTTCTGCTTTGAAATCCATGGCACCATCATTGATTTCAATAGGGACTGTTGCATTAAAAATACGCTAGATAGTCCTTGATTCAAAGTGACAGTTCTGCTAATAAGCTGATGCATGTAATGGCTTGATGTTACCATTCAGATGTAGTGGGCTATTTTTTTGTTTTTGTTGTTTCCCAGCAAAAGCAAAAAAGAAAAAAAAGTGAAAAAGTGGTAAAAATCAGATTAAGTCGTATTGAGTTGCATCTGATCATCTCCCTTTAAGGATGACTCCACAAAGGGATTTAAGCATTACCACCCTCAGTAACAAAGCCTAAAATTTAGGTGTCTGGCTTCCAAAATCAATTCTACAGTGGTGATCTAGGCTTACAGGTTCAACTTACTATACCTAGATTCAAAACAGTTAGGGTGCTGAGCAGAGCTTAATGCAAGCTTTTTCTTTTCTTCTTTCTCTTTCCTTGCCTTGCCTTGCCTTTTCTTGCCTTGCTTTGCTTTCCCTTGCCTTTTTCATCAAAAAGTTGCATCTAGTAGTCAACAAATCTGAAACTGGAAAGGCTGGAAATCACAGAATCAGGGAGAAGCAAAACCCATGTACAGTTGACTAAATTTCTGATTATAACAATATATATGCCTAGCATGTATCCACAGCATGGGAAAGTTTCAGTGCAAAGACACAGTACAAGAATAAGAGATGGTTCACTTACCTGTACGTGTTGGTTGCTGGTACTCTCCAGATCTGAATGCCTTGGAGAATCCCTTCAGCTCCTACGACCACACTGAGGTTTGAGTTCCTGTAGGCATTATTGCATTGGCTCTGTGTGGGGCCATAGGGTCCACTGGCACCACATGTTGTGAATAGCCAGTGATCTGAAATGAGGACAAGCATGCTCTGAACACCCAAAAACAAAATGGCTGTTCTGCTCTTTATTCACTTTCTGTTGTTGCTGGATCAAGAGAAGAACCTGGCCCAAATGTTCTAGCCAGAACAAATATTCACAGAACTCTTTCAAATGACCCATAACACTATGCATTTTGGTATTTGACAGCTTTTCAGCGTCAGCTCCTGAAAATTACCACGATGATAAGCATAGCTTTAATTTTTCTAATTTTTTTTTTCCAAGTTGCTTTTTCTTCCTTTTTTCAAGTTGGAATGACATTGTTGACTTCTGGGATAAGTTCACTATAGAGTTGTTTCAAAAGTTAGCACATGTATAGTTGGTTGTATTTGTCATATTCTTGGTATTTGCACATGCTTTGCAGACAGTGTATTTATCACCAGCAACCCAAAAGAACCTGTACGCCTTTTGCTTCAATAAACTTCACCAGTCATTTGCTAGACTGAAAGTGCATTGTGCTATTTGTGATCATGATAATTCAATACAACTACTGCAAGTGCACTTAAAGTGCTGCACTATTGTGCTATTTGCACATCCGTGATCATGACAATTTAATATATTGAATGTGACTGGACTTACAGTGCCAAATTGGGCATCACTCCGAATCTAAGACCAGCTGCCCTCAGCTCCTCTGATATTTGAGGACAAGCTGGAATGCAAGGGGGTTTAGGTCCTGCCAAACTTCCTTGCCCTTTAATGCAACACTAGCCCCATTCAAATATGTTTTTAGAACAAAGCTTTGCTGATTTTTGCCTCACCAATCTGAATTTTTAATTTGAATACATGATGCTGAAATGTCATCCCTTTTCCAAAAAGATTCACTATTAGGGCCAGCACAGCTGCAAGACCACAATGCTCTTGTAAAACCCACCCTAACATGTTTGCTAGTATATCAGGAAATATTTCCTAGGTAATCAAAACTAGGATGGAAAATAAGTAGACTTAGGATATTTGGTGCACTTTAAATGGGAATCATCCGTACTTGTTAACAAGTACCCATCTCTCATCCATACTTGTTAACAAGCTAAAACACAGTATCCAAAGAACTCCATTATTGGAATTCATCCTGCTGACATAGAATTTGTTAGTAGAATAAACTGCCATTGAAGTCAAAAGACACATCTAAAAAAATATATTTCTACAAATTGCATCAGGTCAGCCAGTCCTCTTTTTGGTATCATTAAAGGGTAGTAATTTTTCCCCCAGCTTCCTCTAATGCAAAACAACATATGTAGACTCCTTCAGTACTAACTCACTCAGACAATGAGAAGATTAGCTGGATCTGCTTCTTGGCATTTGGAGCTATTGTCTAAGCAGACCTGGTCTAGAAATGATGATCAACATATTTTTTGGCCAAGAGGTCTACCATTATTGTTCCTGGAGTGGCTTACCTGCCAGAAATAAAGGCAATACACTAGTTTAGCCATGCACAAGTTTTCACAAACTAATCCTTAAGATGGGCTAAATTCATTCTTATTAAAAAGTTCAGTGCACGAAATGGATCAAACAATTTGGCAGGACTGTAAGAAATAAAGTGGCTGGTGCTTCTGAAAACTCTTCAAAACAGTCTTGGCTGTTTCAGAGGCAATGCAAAACTACTTTAGGAAAGCTTCCTAATCATAGTACTGCTGAGAGAGTAAGCTCTTCTGTCTTATTGCAAAATCTACACCATCCTTCCTCCAAACCCTCCTGGATGGACCTTCTAGGGACTTTGCTACCATTTCTTGGTTTATACGAATACTTACACACTTATTTTACTGTTTCTCAAATTCTTCAGCAATGGGTGGCTGTATAAAGTCTTAAAATTAGTAGACAGCAAATGGAAGAATTCCCCTTTCCTCCTCTGAGACAAATGCACCCCTTCACTCCTCCCCTCCAAAAACGTGAACAGGTATGAGGGAAAAGCACCTAAAAAGGCAAGTAGTTCTACAGGTTCCTATGTAAAATGCTTCAGTAGTTCTGATCCTGAAAAACTTAGAGTCTTATACCAGAAGTTACATATGTTTATTATTTTTCTGGAAAAAAAAAGAAGAAGAAAGAAAACCAAAGCAAAATTTTAAAGAAAATGGAAGATGAGACTCATTCTGTCAGCTATCACAGTGATTTAACATTGTAGTATCCCAGTGGGCTAAGCCATCTGCGCTGAAACATATGTTTAGTAAAGCAGATAGGTAAATGTCTTCACTTGGAACAGTAAGAAGCCATTTGGATGTCTCTGGTGAAACATCAAAAATACTCCCAAGGGTAGAAGCAGATGACCTTCAAGGAGACAATACACCCAAAACTGGAGAGAATCAAAATGGAAAACTGAAAGTGATAAAATCTAGCACAGACCATAGCTTGTGCACACTGCTACTCTAGTTACACTTTGCATTTATGATTTACTCCAGTTAAATAAACCTCATTCCTTAGGTATCTGCTCACCTGGCAGAATTACCTCTAGACTATCACACGTGCAACACAGAGCATGGCTGTACCTGAAACTGGCAGCTGTTGACTCTCACTGGGTTCCAGGGACAGGGGATCAATAAACTGTCTTATTCCAAAATGCTATTTAATGATCCCCAATGTCCTGTCAGAATAGAAGAAAAGTGCCCCCCTGCTGTAAACATTATGCCTCTAGACTTGGAACTGAAAAGCATTAGTACTTTCCAGTTCTTCAGCAGACTAAAGGGTGCTTACTTCCAGTGCAGAGGCAATATCAGGGTAAGACCAAATACATTTAAGATTAATGAATGTGCATCTAAGCTCTTAGAACCTGACTTTTAAAGCAGAGTATGACAAGTCTGAAGAATCAAAAGTCACAGACATATTATGCCTGCAAGTATGACATGACATAAGGAACCTGGAGATGACTGAGTACAGAAGGTACTGACTTAGACTGCAAAAGTGGTGCTGTTGTGTTGACACTGTGGCATAAGCAAGAATATATCTAAAGCCTCCTTTGTTCTGCAGCTGCTGTAGTCAGTGCTAGCAAACATACTTAATTGCTCAGTCCAGGTGGATGGTGGACAAGAAAGGGATGAAGACATGTTTCAGAAGCAGTAGAGCTTGCCAAAGACATTCTCATAAAACATAGCAGGAGGAAGTCTGGCCCAAGTGAAGTCCATAGGCAGCTGATTTCAAAGAGCAAGGATTTCAGTAAAAGAGAACAGACAGGTGTTGCATGAGCAATGCATTTGTCACTGCTGCACTGACTTGCAAACAGTAGTCTTCCTGCCATTTATATTCACTTTTATGTCTTTATACCAAAAGCTATTCCAACATGTAGCAGCTCTGTTGCTGAATTAAATGGGTCAGAATATGGCACGGGAAGATGTTGCCCCTCATTTCAACATGATAAGGACAGATAGGTCTTCATTACTGTTTTGGATAGGTCTCAGTTACTGTTTTGGATACAGACTAAAAACCTCACACTTTCCTCCCTCTTCACTCTTAAGTTACACAAAACCAACCCTCAATCTGCAGATACAGCAGTAACCAAAGGTCTTAAACCACTAACCTAGTATCAAAACAGACTCAAAGTAATCCCTACCTTGGATAACTCACCGTTTACAAATAACCATTCTTTCATCCCCTTTAAAGTACTGGTTTTCCCTGATTCTAGAAATGACTGCAGCATGTCTCATGAGCTCAAAGACAGCATTTATACGGGTTGCTGCCTGACACAGCAGTTTACAGTAATTCAATTTGCAGCATTATTTTAGTATCCAAAGACTAAAGAAGCAGCCCTGGAGTGAAACTCCTTAAGCAGTTAGGTGAGAAACACTGATGCCCAGCTGTGATCTGTTGCGTGCCTCTTTGTTCTGCAGCGTGTGACAGGGTAACACTGCTGGCACCTCACACACACCTGACAGCAAAAAAAGCAGGATTCCCCAGTCTAAATCTTCCCCAACAAGTAACACATTTTGGAATGTTGCCCAACTTCACACAAGTCACAGATGGCTGATTTCCAGAAACAGCTGGGCATTCCCATAATGAAAACTACCGGGCAGCCAAATGCAGGGTCCCTAATATGTTCTGACATTGGCAGTTGGAAGATACTAGCTGGGCTTAAGAACTGGAAATTCCTTTCTGGGATGTGGGGAAGAAAATAAATGAACATTGCTCTGAGATCAGGGTATTAAATTTCAGTGAATAATTTATACATCAGTTCATTTGATAGAATGCCTGTTTCCACAGGAAACTTGACAAAAGAACAATTTGTTCTGCTGCTTGTTCACCCACACATCTGCCCTCCTCAAGCTCCCTGGCAGTCTCCCCACCAAACCACTAAGGTCCCAGGAAAAACATTTTGTAGGAAATGCTATTTGGGGTCTACCTAAATAGATTTTTAAACATTTCTTCTTCCCACCTTTTATTCACAATTTAGATTTACCGATATATTAACGCAGATACACACACTGCTGCTTATTTTCTTCAGCAGATCAAGAATTCTTGTTTTCACCCAGCTTGGCTAGATACATAAAATGTGCAGCAATTAACAGCAGTGGAATTTAGATGCAGCAAAGAGGAGCGATGCCCTGCTTCTGCAAAGAAAAAGAACAAAACCCCATAAGACTTAAAATGACTAATTTAGTTGAGGCTCTGACACAACTTGAAGCCCAAGGTAGCACTGCTGCAAATAACAAACAACAATGAAGGGAAAACAGTGGCACAAAGCCTAAAGTACATTTGTACTGCTAACGTAGAAAGCAATTTCCCTGTCACATACAGCATATAAACTCCATATCACCAAACAGCCACAGGCCTTTTAGCTACACTTCAAGGGCCTATAGGTATTAACTGGCATTTCTTAAATTAAGTTGGTTTGAACCAAGTTTCAACTTGTTCCAAGCCAAAGCTTTACTGTGATTTGAGAAAATCACAAGCTAAGCACTGAGGTGCTGGAATTACTTTGGACTCTAGAGTAATGCACTAATGAAAGCATTGGTGCTTGCCGTGTGTAGGCACTGTGTAAACCATGTGCAGGCGCTGTGTAGAATGCACTGCCACAACCTCTCTTCAGGCCAAGATGCTATCTCTACTTCCACCAGATTAAAAAAAATAAATAATAAGGGTTATATGGCCTAACACTTTCAGGGGCACAGAAACCCCAGTGACTAAAATTATGGAAGCAACTAATTCTATTAATTGTCCCTCAGAAACTTCAATATACTTCTTCCTCTAAGGCAGCTGTGAGTGAATATCATGCCACGAACGAGCAGAACACTTGCTTTATCTACTTGTAAAAACATTCACAAACTCCCTTGCAATATTTGGGCAATATGGCAAGTTAGAGGCTGACAGGATACTGTGCATCTTAACCTTCACTAACATTTGGCTGCCATTAGCATCATGATATGTGTACTAGGATATACCTTTGATTCAGTACATGAGCAATCTGAGTTATGCATTACCAGTAATTCCAGGCTTGGTCTGTGCTAGAAGTCTGTAGACAAACTATACTGCAAACTTATATAAGAAACAGGTTTAGTGCTGTAAGGGAAGAAAGACCTTTAAATTCTGCTGCAGGTTCTATTGTTTAATAGTGAGCAGTAATCTGAGATCACTCTTTTCCAGGATTAAGTTTGCCAGACATTAACAGGACTGGGTAGGTTTGAAGGATGATGGTAAATTGCAGACCTAAGTTTTGCTTACAGATACAGTCTCTGAATAGTTAAACATGTCTACACAAAAACGTTAAGGGGATGTGCTATGTATGAGAATATCACACTATATATTAGGTAGAAATTAGTGAGTCTTGATAACAGTGCTGTAAACAGTTACATAGGTATGGCTAGACTAAGAGGAGGCTGTTTTTTTTCAGTTATTTATGGAGTTACTATCTCTACCCTGTCTTTCCATTCTGTAAATGAAGAAGGCAATGTGGACATATTTTTCAGTTCAACAAGAACTGCATCTGCACTAATGATGAATGTATGCCTCATTTGTCCTGAGTGTCATTTCAAAGAAATACTCAGAGCTTCTTTCTTTTCTGTATAGATTAATGGAACACCGCCTGGGCATCCATTGGGGAAATTATCTGTGGTCAGTATAACAGGACAAGGGGTGACTTTGAACGGTGTTGAGAATGGCTTATTTCTTGTTACACTTTGGAACCAGGAACTAACAAAAGGAGCATGAAGAAAATTAATTTATTTTTCTCTTTTATATTTCATGTATGGAGAGAGATGGAGTTTTCCTTAAAGGATGCTTAGTGAGAGATGCTATTAACTTTATGGATTTTTTTTTCTGTTCAGAGTTGCAAAAGGTGATAGAAATGCATGTTGGATAACAGAGACCATATCAGGAGGAGGTGGCAAAAACATTTCAAAATATTTCCTGAGATTTATAGCAGTTTCTGCACAATTTAAACTGTTGCATTTTAAGGAGTAGTGGCAGCTTTCAATTTTAAGTTTAAAATGTGTTAACTACCCCGTTTATTTCAATTATATGATTAACTCTGGAGAGCAGTAATTCCAATTTAACTGTTCTATGTTGGTTCTCAGTACTGCACCTCTGCTATTTTTAAATCCTCTAGAGAAAGCAAGTGTAAACTCTGCAATAAAGAAATTCATGACTACATAATCTGAGATCCCTCTATCCATCTTTAAACATTTTCTATCACTATTCAGAATGCTACTTTTGTTGGAGAGGAGGGTGCTGAGCTGCTTGTTCACTGTGTTAATTGATGCTTAAAACAAAAATACAATTCTGCAGATACCTTTATTGCATTATGCCAACAGTTCAGTTAGTATAATTGCACGCAAAGAACAACCAAATGTAATTTTCTTTTACTTAATACTCGCTCTGCTGTTCCTTTCAGCTACTTCATCTGATTAACTAATGTGACTCAGAGTTCTTCCGAGAAACAGCTATGTAAGTACTTGTAACAGGACTCTCCCTGACAGAAAAGAAAATCTGTGCAACCACTAGGTGCCGTGGGGAAAAGACTGGAGCTGAAGAAAAATTGTAATCCAGTCCAGAAAATGATTTGATGACAGTTTCTATGCAAGAAAGCAGGGTCACACAATGGCAGACTGGATGGCACAAAACATCACAATATTTGAGGGGGAAAAGCTTAATATTTTTGTTTGTTTTACAACACACCATTTTTGTTCTGTATGACCTGATACAAGTAAGTTGGCAGTGGGATAGATGAGAAGCTGAAACATCAAAAAAGAGGCTATCCTCGTGGTATTTACAGCCTACTCAGAAGCAAAAGAAAGCTTTAATTAAAGCTTGAATACTCTGTTTCTTGTCTCCTTTTGCTTACTGAGAATACTATTTTTTCTCTTCCCAACTTCCATTATTGTCATTCATTTTCCTAGAGTTCCTCACTAGTGATCTCTGTCTATCCTGAATTTCCCATATTCTGCCCTTGTCTGTAGAAGGAAATTGCACTGGTTTTATTTAAATTGGCTTCTTAATTGGTAGTTGAACTCCCTGTAGAGAGATGCTCTGGTTTAAGCAGCTTTCAGTTTTACTTAAACTAATACCCAACTGATATTAAAACTAACCTGAAGTAAGCTTGGTTTACATGTAAATAAACACCACAAAGCCTTTTATACAGATCTAACTATTTCAATCAAAAATCCTAGTTACACTATAGTTACTTCTATCTTCTGGCATAATGGGGCTTTCTTGCAACTTTTTTTGCAGGCTTCTTCCAGAATCAAGTTTCACCTGCAACATTTGAGCAAGAAGTTGGCGTTCCAGTGAGTGACGTGTAAATTAATTGAAAAGGAAAGCCTTTGCATTGCTCTGTGGCTATCTATCTCATGGCCACCTTGCACTGCAAGTGACTGGGCAAAGTAAAACCTGCAGGGATGTTTTGTGTGTCAGTACTGGTCATCGTCAAGAAATGTGAGAGAATAACACCATCACACTATGTGGAGAATAAGACCATAACTAGGGTCTTATTCTCCATGTAGCGTGTTCATCAGCCTGCGTGTTACACACAACAGTGTTGAATAGATCTCTGGAAACTTCAGGATCTTTTAGGGTGTGGCTGTGTTGTATGTTTCAAACCTTTTGCTGGACTCCTGTGTACAAGTTCTGGAGGAATGCCAAGCCATTATGAGCAATGGTAGGGCTGAAGCAATTCACTGGGTACAGGGCCTGAGAACAGAGAGGACAGGGACAGTGGCGGTGATGATTGTTCATCACTTCTGCTGAAACTGGATTTCTAAGGCAAAACCAGCAGCTGCATGTAAGAGCTTGTTCTCAGTTACAAAGGAGCAAATCTAGTCCCTTATCCTTGAAAGCAATGGAACTTGTTTGGATATACTGTCAGGTAAATAAAGTGGTACCTGTCTTTCAGATCGTACTTCCTGCTGTGCAGGCTGAGCAGGCTCAGGGACCTGGGGAAGGCATTTTATTATCCTGTTGTCTCCTGAGCTATAGGAACAGCATTTTCCTTGTTTTAATATGATTTCTTAAGAAGGAAATACTACAGCCTGTGATCCATCACACAAGCCAAAGATCACATTAGCTGTAATTACTTTTGGCTGAGCTCATATCGGTCAATGCAGTCTTTGGGACTTCAGGGTGGTGCTGATCCTGTTATTTCACTAAAGCAACAGTAAATATGGGCCCATGAAAGCAACAGCCTTGACAGACTCAGCCTGAGGTTTCTTAAATGCATTATAGGATGTAGAAAGTAACAAGATTAAATCTGGGTAAAATGCATAGCCCAGGGACCAAACAAGCATCTGCACTGTTTACTGAGAGCAGGGACTGAGAAACACAAAGGGAAAAGGTGATTTGGTACTGTGGAGACACTCAGAAATGTAATGACTTCCCACTGCAAGAAGCTGCAGCACAAGTTTGCTGATGTATGCCCTGCCTGCACCAAGAGGGCATAAAGAGGGAAAAAATGCTGTAGGAGTGATTTCAAACCCCAAGGGCTAGAGACAATTTTTTGGAAGAGACTTGAATAGGATGGAGGATCAAATGCAGAAATTAGGCAAGATGGCTTCAATATCACAGGAATTGCCTTGAACCTTCACCCGGAGTTCAATACAGATGATTTCTATTGCTCAAAGTACCTCAGTGACCTTTTCTTCTACCTCCATAGAATTTGACTCCCATTATTTCTACTTTCCAATCATTTCTTTAAATTGCATTCTCCATATAGAACAGGGAATAGAAGAGCTAGAAGATGTGTCCCATCATATCAGACCTAGTGAGAAGAAGGAGGCAAAAAAAATAATAGCAGGGAGAAGCCTATGGCCATACGATTTCTGGCCTAACACCTACACACTCACTTTAGATTAACTTTGTGTCCAAAGTTCAGGCCAATTTCCAATCTGATACTGGTATTTAATGGCTTTTGTGTTACTAAAAGAGTAGGTATCCTGGATAGAAAACTACAGTAGGCTTGGGCAACTACATTACCACATAAGCACGGACACTCCTATGGAATGTCCATAACTTACACTTGTGTGCGGATCCTACCTAAAAACAACACTGAAAGCACTTGAAAAGCGGTTCAACTTAGGCAGGTAATGGAGATACAGGTATCAAAGGAGACATTTCAAAGGATCCACTAGGGGGAGTGGTGCAACAGAATTGTGCTGGGCCTATAATACAGAGGACAAGACATCAAAACCATCCTCTGCTGCAGGCTTCAGTCCCCACCTGGAGTACTGCAGACACATCTGGGACACCCAGCATAAGAAAGATGTGGAACTTTTAGAGTGGGACCACAGCAGGGCCATAAAAATGATCAGAGGGCTGGAGCACCTCTCCTATGAAGAAAGGTGCTCTCTAGCTGGGGATGTTCAACCTGGAGAAGAGAAGGTTCAGAGGGGACCATATTGTAGCTTTTCAATACTTAAAGGGGGCTTAAAAAAAAGATGGAGAGCAACTTTTTGCTAGGTCAGATGATGACAGGAGAAAGGGGAATGGTTTTAAACTAAAAGAAGGGAGATTTAGTTTAGATATTAGGAGGAAATTTGCCTCAATTCAGGTGCAGAATCTGACACTTGCTCTTGTTCAATTTCATGTGATTGGTGATTGCGCAGCCCTCTAATTTGTTAAGATCTCTTTGCAAGGCCTCTCTACCCCTGAGGGAGTCAACAGATCCTCCTAATTTAGTATCATTTGCAAATTTACTTAGCATGCATTCAAGTCCTGCATCCAGATCATTTATGAAAACATTAAAGAGAACCCTAAAGCACAGCATCCTCTCATGAGGGCTCATTCTCCCTATCTAATACATCACTTCTGCACTTTTCTTGCTGCGTGATGCTCAGAACAGAAAATATCAACAAACTCTACTTAATGGGAACTCTTGGCCTACACTACAGACATCAGCCTCCACCACCACAACTAGAGCTCACTGGTTCAGGTACCAGCAGCTGCCCTGCTGAGCCTAATTCAGCTTTTCAAGCAGGCTTTGAAGACTGTGTTGAGCTTTTGATTGCACTGGCCAGACTGCTGCTGGTATCGGAGCTGACTTAACATGAGCTCATGTGTTTCAACAGTACGCTGCAGGTAGAAGAGTGAAGCATAACGTAGAATAGAATAAATCCCTGAGCTTATTCACAAGGTAAAGGAGGTATATACCAACCATGCCCCTGTTCTCTAACTTAAGAGAGGTGATATTTCAAATCAGCAGGCGTCTACAGCCCTATGTGAGGAAGAACAGCTTCACACAGTGCTAAGGGTGGCATTTGTAGCAAATGCATGTTTCTCTCTTGTAGTCATCCTTCATTTACATGGTCAGTCCTGCTCCCCCAGATAGGTCTGGAGTGCTGTCCCAGGTTAGTTGTGGCCACCTGAACTGAATCAGGAAGAAAGAACAGCAAGGAAGAGGGAAAAGTGGTAGACTGTAATAGAAATGCATATGTAGCTCCTGAAACATATATTAGAATGTGTGGGCAAGCCTGGAATGGGGAAGAGACAAATGCCTGGGAGACAGTGATGTGATGGGAAAGGAAATCTTGCATAATTTTGTATCACACCATTACAACTAAGCTGGAAAGGGGAACCAGGGCGAGAACCAAGTATAGAAGACTGCCATTTCTGACAAAAATTATGTCTTTAAAATCAAGTCCCATGCTGTACTTTTTCAAATGAGGAATGAAGATATTACTGAAAAAAAGGAAAAGTTTGAATTTTGTTATTTCAAACCAAGCTTATATTAACTACAGATGAGTGTTTAGGTTACCACATGCTGGACTCAGTGAATTTCGACACTTTGGTTTGATTCCTTCCTATTTTTAAATGATCATGAGATCAAATAAATCTGTTTTACAATTTAAAAGCAATCTTTACTTTAAGAAGAGCCTCACTCTGGTTCTTTTCTTTCACAAGCCTGCAATCAAAATCCAAGTTGCAGTTAACAGCTAAAGGTAATTGTTTTCTACATTTTTTGTTTGTTTGAAAGAGACTTGGGAAAAGATCTGAGGAAAGGCTTTGGTTAAAAAGAAGGAAAAAAAAAAAGAATCATATTGCTTTTAGCCACATTCAGTTGAAATCTGTACTTGTTAGAAACCTGCTGTCTGAGAATGCTTCTCAGATCAGACAATTACCTGCTGGACCAGAAATGGGGGCAGTGCTGAGTTGGAGATTTCCCAGAAGCTTTTGTTCCCATCCAAACTTTTTCTTGCCACCTCTACTAGTGAGCAAATTGCTTGAGTCTGGGGTAGTACTTCGAGGTATCTTCTCTCCATTGACTAGAAAACAAGAAGTCACAGATTGATTATCACTGTGCTGAGTCAGCATGTAATAAAAAACTCAAGCTAAATTAACAGCTGGAGGCTTCTCTGTTGGGAATTAGAGCCTGCAGACACAGGATATAATAATATTAAAATGAAAGGACAGATTGACTTTCCATTGCTGTAATGGGAACTGTGACAAATGAAAAATAAACAGGAATGGGTGATGGACAAAACAGCAAGTGAATGAAGACACAAAAGAGAAGTATAGAACAATCTCTAGCAAGTGCTAGAAAGTTTCTCTTTTAGCCAGTAAAAATGTATATATTATTTATTAATTAGACTACTTTTAAGGTCTCTGTGATTCTTTAGAATACTGGAACCTGAACGTGCTTGGTACTTATGCACAGAAACCAAAATATATTACTGCATAAATGGAAACACTCACAGCCCCAGACAGCACAAACTAACAAAACACAAAGCAGATGAAACTTTCTGACTGCTGTTGGATGAGGAAGTGGCTCAGAGGTTTTCAATCTACTAAAGATGACGGAAGTTGTAGCCTCAAGCCTAGGAGATGAATGAACACAGTTAACTTCTACCTTTCAACCCAAGGCAGAGGTTTCCTGTGTTCACAGTACCAATCCTCAAGTAAGTTGTTGGTCTGAGGTATAGAGTGACAGATCATTGAACACATTTAAAAATTAAACATTTCACTATGCATGAGATTATGAGCTAAACACAACTGTTCAATAAAAATCTAAATGGGGTGAATCTGGCAGCAGAGGTATAGACTGGGCATATTTTAAAGGCTGGTTGACCACAAAGTTTGGACCTAAATCCATATTTTTCCCAAAAGTAGGAGAGAGGAGAGATCAGGATGATTCAGACTAAAAGGCATGTCAGTCCAAATAAAAAAAACACCAACAACCTTGTTCTAATTCAACTGTAGCATTGTGCCCAATGTTACTGCAAAGTTAGTGTCAATCACTGCCTGTCTTTTCCTAGCCAGAGTCCAACTGCCATTCATTTTGATAACTGTCACACAGCAAGCCAGGTCATGTGGAACTCTGTAATCACAGACTGGCTTCTGCATCAGCCTGTGCAGGTAGGTGATGCTACTATCTTAGCTGGAAACTGACTCTCCCACACCATACGTCTTACTATCCATTTACTGCCAGACTCGGAACCCATTCACTAGTCAGTTCTTCTGAAAGGATACGAATCCGAACAGTCTCCTTCATCTTAGCACAAGTATTTCAGAAACATACCTTTTTTCAAGAGTCTTTTGAAGAGAACAACATGCAATCCCCTCCCCACAGTTTCAACCCCTCTCCAAGTTTCAGTTGCATAGCAAATAAAAGGCAAACCACTTGCAGATAAAAGGAAAACTTACTTGTTAAATAACAATCCAGACTAAGGGAGACATTGTCAAAAGCAATAATGGCATCAGATCCTTCTTCCCATGAAGCAATGATCTGAAACCAAAACCTGCATAGATTGGAAGAACAGGGATTAAAGTCTGGTAAAGGGACAGAACAGAGCTATTCACAACTAAAGCAGTTTTAGAATGGAGAAATAAAAAGCTTTTCTTTCACATACAAAATTATTAAATTGACAGAGAAAGCATCCTAGCCCCTGACAAGCAAAGAGGATCGATCTTTGGAGGGGAGCTGCACATGAATAGACAGAAAAATGAATATGGCCCCTTGTCCATTCAGGGGCTTACAGCCTGAAGCAGGTGCAAGTACTTGTGCTGTGGGGTGTCAGGACAACAGTTAAAATACCCTGACTTCTGGCACAAAAAAATCAGACACCTAAGGTGATTTTATTCTCACAAGTGTTTTGAACCCAAAAGTGCTAGGTACAGTAAGTAGGCTGGAGCTTCTGATGTCATTTAGGAGTTTTTTAAAAGAAGCTGACAAAAGCTGAAAGAAATTCAGTAAGTATTTGGGACTGCTTGAGGAAGCCAAGGATATCTAACAGTCCTGGCAGTCAACCCTCCCTCCTTCTCCCTGCCCCAAAACAAACAAAAAAAGCAACACCAAACCACCACCACCACCACAAAACACAAGAACTGTGTAGTCCATAGGAACTGGAGAATTCTTTATCTCCTTGTTGAAGCTCTGCAGGTTTGCCTTGCAACACTTCCATATTCTCATCTGGCTTTTGCAGGGAGTAGGCTTTTGCCACTCTGATGTTACCAAAAGAAAGATCACTGTAAAATCACCTGCAGTGGTATTACAAGTCAACAGGTAGAGCAAAAATAACATACAACCTAGTATTTCAAATTTGATAGTATACAGACCACAGCATTTTTTTAGGGCTTTCACAGATTTAGGTTTTCTCTTTGCTTAGTAAATGCATGTTCTCCTGATGTGTATCTGTCACATTAAGTCCAAATACTGTGCTTATGACAGAACAACTTATAAAGCAACTGACCATGGCCTGGAAATCAGATACGATATCAAAAGGTTGTATCAAAACTAGAAAAACATGAAGACAGCATACGATACAAGCTGCAAGAGAATAAAAAATGTTATTTAAACCTTGTTCAATTTTGTATCTTGATGTCTTACACTGCCTTACAGCCTTAAGTTAGAGCTGTTTATGTGTTTCTTTAATGTACATAACTTCTTTATGGTTCCTACTCTAGATTTTGGAATAAGAATTTAGCTAGAATGTGTATTCTTGCAGTTGTTCCAGTTTGGATGACAAGCTGATGAACAAAGTACTTTTGTGGAGCACTCCCATTTATTTTAAAAGGCTGTACAAATCCTGTTTCCTGCACTGCTGCAATAATCAAAATGCCAGCAGAATTTTCTTCTCACAGCTTGTAGTCCTTTATGTATGGTTTTTGCTCTAAAACATTTTCTCTCATCTTTTTGGCAGCTATCAGTATTCTTACATTAGTCTTGTTGCCTCCTGCTGTTTTTAAAATCTACCCTTTCCATCACCAACAAACCAAGCTCACAAAAGAATAACCAAGTGACACACCTGTCACAGAGCACTGGCCCTGGTACTGAGCCCTGGGGGATGCCACTAGTGACCGGCCTCCAGCTGGATTTAACTCCATTCACGACTCTTTGGACCCAGCCGTTTTTTAACCTAACAAAGCGTACGCCAGTCCAAGCCATGAGCAGCCGGTTTCTTGAGGAGAATGTTGTGGGGAACGGTGTCAAAAGCCTTGCTGAAGTCAAGGTAGACCACATCCACAGCCTTTCCCTCATCCACCAAGTGCGTCACTTTGTCATAGAAGGAGATCAGGTTCATCAAGCAGGACATGCCCTTCATAAACCCATGCTGACTGGGCCTGATCGCCTGGCTGCCCTGCAAGTGCCACATGATGACACTCAAGATAACCTGCTCCATGAGCTTCCCTGGCACTGAGGTCAAGCTGACAGGCCTGCAGTTTCCCGGATCTGCCCTCCGGCCTTTCTTGTAGATGGGTGTCACATTTGCTGGCCACCAGTCGACTGGGACCTCCCCTGATAGCCAGGACTGCTGATAAATGACGGAAAGCGGCTTGGCCAGCTCCTCCGCCAGATCTTGGCGACTGGCTGCAAAATGGCGGCAGCGCCCAGTTGAAATGGTGCCGCTGCCGCTGCTGGCTCTGCCTGTGCCTCGTCAGCTTCCCTCATGAGGGCTGCCGGGCCCTGGCGGCTCCCTTGGCTGCCTCGAGTGGCCTCAATGACAAAAAAAAAGCCTGACTGCCTCGATCCCTCCACTCCACCACAGAACGCATCTGCCCCAGAGCTGATCTTGGTGAGAGGTGGATAAAAAAGACGAGATGGACACTTGTGTAAAGGTGTAAAGGCTGCTGTTCATCTTTTTTTTTTTTTGTACTTACAGGCAACTGAATACTTCTGAAAATATTTCTGGGCAATTTCCTGAGCAGAACATAAGCTTCACGCTGCAAGGTGTTAACCTTTGATGGTCATGTCCTGCCTCTCCAGACAACAAAAGGTTGTTCTTTCATGAGTTATCACACGGTCAGCCCCTCAGAGCAGGAAAGCATGATGCAAAACAGTATTTCTGTCATGGAGGAAAATGCCATCTATTTGCCCATACAAGAATGCAATAGGTTGTGTTTTACTTAAGGGAGAGCCTTGCCAGTTTCAACTGCAGGAACACTGGGACCAGCACACATAAAAAGTTTCTTGAAGTTCACCAGGGATGAAAAAACTGATAGAAAAGCCCCCAGAACAGAAGAATCATGTGAACGTCAAACACTGTCAGGACCATCAACGCTGCTCTGGTTACTTATTAATCTGTGTTTCTTTTTCCTTTTCTCTCTCTCTCTCTCTCTCTTTCTCTTCCTCTTTCTTTCTCTTTCTTCTCATTTTAAACACGAATGCAGGTTCAGTACAAGCCTTCTCTTGAGATCAGAATTTCTGCAACAAATAGTTCATCTTTTTCTCTTTTCCAATTTAATGCTGCTATTAATTTAGAAATATGATGTCTTTCAAATTCCACTGAAACATGATCATCAGTTAACCAACATTTCCATCATTAGCTTTGGTGGTTCTAGCTTAATGGGCTAATTAAGGGAAATTTAATCAAAACTGAAGATGGAAATGTCACACATCAGTGAGAAAAAAAAAAAAAAAAAAAGCCACACAGATGATCTCATTCCCTTCCCCTCCTTTTTCTTCCTTCTGTTTGATCCTATACTTACTGAAATCAATGAACCAATTCCCACTGACTTTGCTAAAGCTGATACCGAACCATCAAAAAGCATAGGCTGCTGTGGTGGCTTAGTGTAATGCTGTAGGTGACAACATCTCACTGGTATTTTCACACAGCTCCAAGTGGGCTATGCTGACTACGCATCCAATACTTGAACTAGTACCTATACAGCACGTATACTGATCCACCACACCATATACACATATTCACTGTTAACACAGACGCTTTGGTGGATGGCAATGAAAGACCATTTCTGAAGGTAAATATATAGAAGCAGTAAAATTAGTGCTGGCAATTTTGTCACAGCTTTGTTGTTTATTAAATTCCAGCAACATCCTCACATGGAATACAATATTATTATGGATAACTCTGTGTTTGTAAGACAGATTTCTTCATAAGAATCAAAATATGCCTGCTATGAGGGGTTTTAATGACTTGGATATCAGAAAAAATGTTACTTGAGGACTGGTGGAAATTACTTTTTTCTGTCTCTTCTTCTATTTTACTTGAATCCAGGAGCACAGATAGAAAAAAAAGCTCTTTAGATGTCTGCCTATTGGGAAGTACAAGTTACATCCAGCAGAACTGAGCATCAGCTGAGCTGTAAATGGAGCTCATAAAAAGGCCCCTTTTAAGAATAAAAAATAAAAATTAAAAAATTAATAAACTGTTTGAGGCTGATGGGAAATGTGGTACCAGGTAGGCAAAAAAATAAAATAAATAAAATAAATAAAATAAAAATTCAAATCTCCCCTTTGGGAACATCACCTCAGTTGTTTGAAGGATTCAATTTTTACCTAAATTTAAAAATCACTCAAGGCTGACTACTGATCAAATACCCCAGAATCATGGATAAGAAGTGCCACCAAAGGCGAAACAAATTGTTTTCCTTTGATTTGTTTCTTTGGCCCAACTCATGAAATTAGAATATAGATGAACAGTTATTTGAAAGGTAGGACCAAGCATATTCCAATTCAGTCAAATCTGACACAGAAACAGGACAACAGTGAACCTTCTGGACTGTAGTCTTCTCCACTCCTCACAATCTTTGAATCCTGGGTTTTACTTCAGGATGGTCAGTATTTGAGCTTAAGGACATCATCTTGAGTTTTCTGTTCAGTTCAGGTCTTCTTTTTCCTTACTTACATTTTCCTTGATCCTAACAGAAGACTGTTAACCCCCCAAATATCTGGGGCTTATCTAAAAAGGGAAATATAGAACCAGAAGTATGAAAATATATCTATAATTATTTTGGTATAGCTGCCATGAAGACAAACTGTTTTGCTTATGTCACCTGTCTTTAGGCCTTCATTTTGCACAGAAATGTTAGCTTTTGGGTGTATTACGTCCTTTCCTATGTGGACAAAAATAAAAAGCATTCTCCTTGAATAGAGGACCTCAGAAAGCTCATTGTATGTGAATTCTCTGCAGCCTCCTCCCTTCAGTAGCAACTCTGAATTCCACCTAAATTTTGTCCCTGGCTCATATGGACCTTCCAGGTTTCTATTATCCAGACCCAGGCAGCTGTCTTCATGCTATTATTTTAGAAAGGTTCATAATAATTATTTTTTTCTTTTTATCATAAAGACAAGGATTATTGAACAAGATTGAATATTCACCTCCCCTGTAGTCAATCTCCCATGAAGTGACACAATCACATTGTACCTTTATGTACAGATGCCATTCCATAACTTGTAATGTTTTGCCTCTGATGGAACTGACTTCTCTTTCTACCTAGCTAAAATAATTATGGCTGAACTTGCTTGAGATTGAGGTACTTACAGAAGAGAAAAGTTTCAGGTCACTAACCCTTATTACATTCAGGTTCCCACTAACTTCTCTGTTAAAAATGATGCATTGTTAGCTCACCTCACAAATGACGTACTATTTGGGATAAAACACATATTTAGGTGGAATGAGATTATTTGGAGAACTACAAGCATATTAACCAAACTCAGTTACAGTGATAGAATTGCCATGTAGGAAGTTACTTACTAGCCAGTAATAAAGGTTGAGTTTCAAAGGTGTTATTAAGGGCAACCATGCAGAATATATACTTGTACAAAATCTATCACAGGTACACTGCACACACAATCACCAAACCCCACTTTTTCAGATTAACAGAACAGCCTTCACCAGAATAATTCTATTTCAGAAGGCGAACGTTATCAAACATAGTTAATGATACAAAGCAGCAGGAATTTGGGGTTTTATAATCATGGCAGAGCCTTTGAGATGACAGGTCCACTGGGGCCTGATGGCACCCACCTGCCGTCATGGGGGAAACATTTCTTAGCTCATAAACTGGTAAGACCGATTGAGATTTTAAACTAGGATTGATGTGGGATGGGGGATACCATTAGGAGTACTGAGGTTAAACCAAGGGGTGGCACTGTCTGAGGGTGCAAAGCTAATGGGAGCACCCATGCTATGCCAGGGAGCACTGTGGGTTCAGGAGCACATGAAATGCTTGTATACCAATGCCTGCAGTGTGAGGAACAAACGGGACAAACTGGAGCCTTTGGTCCTTTCCCAGAGCTATGATATCATTGGTATTTGTGAGACTTGGTGGGATGAGTCCTGTGACAGGAGTGCTGTTCAGAAGGATTATGCAGGGCCGGCGAGGCAGGGGTGTTGTACTATATGTAATGGAGAGATTAAATTGTACAGCCCTTGCCATTAGGGATAACATGGAATCACCTGAAATGTTCTAAGAGTGTTTTTCTGCCAAAATATAATCCACACCCCCAACAACTTTCTTAAACATTTGAGGTGTCTGTTTCTAAAGATAGAAGCAGTCTGATTTCTTGAAACTCGTCCTTCCTTGAAGGGCAATAAGCCAAACACAAAAATTATGGCTAAGCAGCTTTTGAACAAGCATGCTTTTGAGCAGCCTTAGGGCATATTATCTTGTTATTAATAACGCTTTCAATTCAGCTTCCCAATCAAATTGGATGACGCTTTAATTTTGTGTGGAACTGGTACATTAGTGTGCTTTATTCAAGAGCTTCACTTCTGTAGGATGATTTAAGGTTTCTGCTCCTCCTGTAGGAATATTTGTAATACCCTGCTTCACTTGTCTAATGCACACCCTCATAGCTACAAACATGGGAACCAATTAGAAAAAGACAAACAGCAAGCTTTCAGCAGCACCATCATGAAATTCACGTCAAGTAAATAATTCTTACAGTTCATTAAAACTATCAGTCGTTTATCTCCAAAGATAAATGCAATAGCATAAATGCAATACTGTAGTCTCCCCAGTACCACTTCAGTGTATCACTTCCATAGAGTTCCTAAGTTGTACATCATTCTGGATTTCCTGAGAAGCAGACTTCAAGATGGTGAGAAAGATGCCTGCCGTATTTTCAAGTCTCACAGGAAGGACTGGTTTAAACTAAATCAGTCTTTTATAAAAGTCTTTAAAACAGTACAATTTCAGTGAAAATATAAGGACTAAAAACTTTTCAAGAGACACCAAAACTTCAAAGTTGTCTTTGCTTAAGTCTTAACCTCCAACAAACCCTTTTCTTCAGTGAATGAACCCAGCTGTCTTTCTCTGTAAGTAATGGGGAAATAAGGATGTCAAAAACTTATACATAATAGCACTGTATATCAGATGGACCTGTGATTCCACATGAACCACTACTAGCCTGGTTCCTAAGATCAAAGTATTCTCTGTCTGACTGTGCAACCAGAGAGAATTTAAAGAAAAGCAATAGTATAAGAGCACAGAATAATTCAGGTAAAAAACATTCCCATGGCAACATTAGAAAATTAGTCACATAAATAATAATGGCAAAATATACCATTCTTCAAAGTAAACACAGCTGAAGGGAATAAAGCAACTAGGTATTTTTACAAATGGTACTTCAGCATTGACTGCACAATGCAGATATTTTTTAAATCTTTGACGCACGCATATTAATTATACATTCAGGACGAAAGCGTTGGCAGTGTCCTTGCTGTATTTGCAGCCTACATGCATCCCCAAGAGCCAGCAAGATAAAAGACATATTCATACAATGTTTGTTCAATTTTCTTATGAGGAAAACTATCCCTTAATGAAATCCATTATTTCTAGGGCGCATATTCCCCAAAAGACAAAGGACACCAGTGCTCATGACACAGACTGTAGATGCATCTTATCGCCTAAAGGCCAGGGCAGCAGGAGGTGAAGTATGTTTGTGTCTTCTCTATAAAGGTCATAGGCCAGAGTACACACAAAAAGTAAACAACGAGAAATAGATTATTCCTTTAAAGCTGACCTGTAAGAAACAGCTAAAACAACGCTCTGTAAACAAGCATATGCTACCAGATTAAGCATATGCTACCAGATAAAACCATGCTTAAAGCCAGACTACAGTCATAACTGAGACCCCTTCATTAAGCTTATCCTCCCGTTACAGCTAACACAAAGGTATTCAGAAGCATCCTTGTCTTGATTTTGCAGCAGGTTCTTCTTCCCATCTCTTTCATCCTCAGATCTAAAGGTATTGGACACTGAGGACTTTGATATCCAGAAAAAATATAAACTACGGAGCTCACATCAACTCAAACAAATCACATAAGAGGATTAAAACAAGCTACTTAAATAATGTGTGAGGACAATAAGTATTTCCAGTCGATGAAACAAAGACACATAAGTTTAAGCTCTTTGTCGTAGAACACCCAATTTGAGAACAACCACCATTCAGGAGTTTTGAAGTTCTGTGCTTTGCTCTAACTACTCAGAGTTTCATTCCCTGGCTGTGACAGAATATACCTCCCAGGGACAAAGCAGTTCCTCTCCCTGAGGGAACTATTTTTGGGAGTGATGTTGCCATTTTAATTGCCAACTAGCTAGTGATGAAGTGACTTATCATCGAGAAGGAGAATGATGAGGAGAGACATACCTATCCAGTATATCTGGGAGAGGTAAGATCAACCACTGCCATATTCCCAAACCTTTGCTGTTAGCTGAATGCCATAATGTCCTGCTCTGCTCCTTTCCTGTCTTGTTCTCAACCAGCACCAAGGATATATTTCCCAGCAAGACACCATGGATGAGCCATGACATTCGTAGCTAGAAGAAAGAGAACACAAGAGATTAAACTTCACAAACATTACCCAAAAGTTAACAAAATTCCCAACTCTTCTTTAATTTATTTGTTTTCTAATCACCAAGAATTCAATTCTATCTCCCTTATGTCCATGTAATCCTTTTAGAAAACTTCAGTTTCACCACTGGTGTAGAAAACTGTAATACTTAGTATATGCTATTTACTATTGGAGCTAGTGGCCTTTCTTTTTATTAAAGTTGAGTCCAAAACAACCCTAGTTTTGCTTTCACATACATACTGTAATTTTACAGGGACAAGTTAGTACCTCTATTATCCACACTACAGAGATCACTCTCCCCTTAGATGCCTAAGAGGTTCAAGTTAAGGCAATTACGCAAGTTAAGACTGATTATGTGACAAAACACCAAAACTCGTTTAGAGAAAATTTCAACTCCAGAGAAGAGCAAGGTCTTGCACTTGCCCTGCATGTGAACTCCTTCCTCTGTGTATGGAAGCGAGGGAAGATGATTTGCAGAGTCAAGACTGATATAATGATATGATTGGATGCGTTTGCATAGCATTTTGTTGCAAATTGTACATAAGCTATTGCAATTTTTAATGGTGGGGTTCTCTCCTTCTCATTTCTCTAATGGAAGAGGAAGGGTCTCATGATCATGACTAAACTTTAGTAAAAAATTTATAAATCTACTCTTTGATCCTTTTTGCTCCCCACTCATGGAATGTCCAGAGTCACTTTACAGCTGGGGAAGGGCTGAGTTCATACCCAGACGTTCACCAGAACCAACACTGGTGAAAGAGGCTGACAAAGGTTTGTGGTATAGGAGGCTGATGCCCACAGACTTCAGGATATTTGCATGGATATTCTTAACTGTTAGTGCACACATGGCCTTAATGTCAGGTGACAATCAAGATTAAAGAACCTGATAGGCATTTTATGTTCCCTTCAATACCACTGGAACACCTTTCAGAACTGCTTAAGTGCTTTCCCTTGAGAAAAATTATCAGGACTAATCTCTCTCTCTCTCTTTTTTTTTTTTTTTTTTTTTTTTAAATAATACCTTTGGAAACAAGACAATGACCAGGCTGATGCTAGTGGACATGTAAAGTATTCAACCTATAGTAGGAAAAACAACTCCTCTTACTGACTGTCCATATGTGAAGCAGTTTTAGTACCCTAGTGTCAACACCACTGTAACACCCTATGTGAAATTTCTAATACAGATAAGTTGGGACAATTCCACTGTTCCATTTTGACAATTCAAAATTTGAGAGGTAAAGCCTTTGAAGGTCCTACTACACAGGGTCTTTCAGACTTCTGTCTCCTCTGGAGACCTGCCAGACAGTGAGAGGCAACATCTACATGGTCAGAAGTGAGAAAAGAGCAAGCCTGTGATAGCTATTAATGTAACACTAGAGCAAAAGCTGAAGCAACTGATGAATTGGAATTGATGCCTTTGCACACATGTCAGCTGTTTGAAGGAAAGAAGTAGTTGGCATTAGATGTGGGAGATCAGCTCACTGGCAAAGTGCAATACGCAGACTCTAATGAACTGGCTCTGAGTGAATCGACTGTCACTGTGTCCAAATGGGCATTCCTGGCTATGATTTCTATGGCTTCTAAGCTTCACAGCAGGGCAGTGCAGGTCTTTTCACACCTGCTGCAGTGAACCAGAGCAGATGATGAGCTGGATGCCATACTAAAGACTTCTGAATGGGGCTGGCATTCACTCTACAGAATACGGCATCAATGATGGCAGGTGGTACCATATACACAATGGATCCTGTAAACAGTGCAGGGGAACATTTGGAAAAATTGAATCTGGGCTGTTGGTGGCATATCCCTAACATTATACATCAAACATCTGCCTCTGTCTTAAACTATCAGCAAAATAGAAGCTAGAAACATCATTGAGAAATTAATTAACCATTACAGGTAGACACTGGCTCAACGGTGCTTTGCTTTTTGGCTTTAGAATCCACCATAACCAATGATTAGCTGTTCATATGCAAACACTCTGACTAAGTAAATGAAACACTCTAAACTGATTTGGGCAAAATTAAATGGAGAGAGAACTCACAGTTAAGACAAGCATATTGTAGCAAAACTTGGGGCACATTGCCCTGTACTGTGAATATTATCTATAAAGAAGCCTTCCGGAGAATCCCCTTAGCCCCTGAGTTTGTGGAATATCTGAACAGACAATCAAGAGACTCAACTCATCCAAGAAAGAACATTAATCCTCACCAATATCAACAAGGTTTTTCAGGTTTAACAGAGAGGTCAGGAAAAACAATGAGGGTACAAGCTGCATAATTTCAAGACCACCTGAGAAGTGAGCAAGACTTGCATTTTATTTTTGTATACTCAAAAGAAGTAAAATACTAAGAACCTTTAGAGTTAGGTTTGGGCCTGCTTACACCTGTGAATCTACTTTAGTTAGAAATATTTCAGGTCTTACCTGGCAGAAAAAGATAAATGATTGCCCATAGCAAAAATAACCAAAGAAAAGGGGAAAAGATGAACATGTTTAGAAGAGTGCTTGGGGTAAAGTATTTCTAAGACAGAGAAAAGCTTCTATCTGTCAAGGGAAAGGAGAGACAGATGTGGTGAAGGGCCTGGAACACGAGTCCTCTGAGGAGCGGCTGAGGGAACTGGGGTTGTTTAGTCTGGAGAAGAGAAGGCTCAGGGGAGACCTCATTGCTCTCTACAACTACCTGAAAGAAAAGGGAAGAAAGGGAAGGGAAAGGAAGGAAAGGGAAACTTGGAGAAACATCTCATCATTAAATAGGAACTGAAGCTGCAAGTTGGATTACAGTTTATGTACAGTTAGACAATGGTTGCCGACGCTTTTGCCAAGTCTCAGTAAGAATTTGTACATGAATATGAAGTGTGTTTGAGGCATGAAGTTTATCACATTGGCAACACTGTGTTTCTTACTAGCAAGGAGAAATGCTTGTACACAACAATATAAGCAGAGTCATCTGTCTGAACTGCTGAACGATTTTGGCTTAAGAATAAGAAAGATGACCAAAACTTCTTGCTCTTGTTTTTTCCTCAAGATTAATAACTGTGCATGATCAGTCTCTTGTAGTCTGCTGAGACTTCTGCTTTTGCTTATAACATAAATATGCAAGCAAAAACCTTAAGTAAATGATAAAATGGTAATTAAACTGATCTGATTACGTAGTTTTAAAATATCTATGCGAGAAAGAGAAGCATATAACTTCAGATGAAGAAATTCCCATGCTATCTATTCTCATTTATTATTCATGTTTACTTTTATAAAATTAAGAACTGAATAAAAGTATCTTAATTTCTGGAAACAAGGAAACAAACAAAAATAAAGACAACATCGAAAGAGAAAGAAAGAGAAAAATGTTGTAATTTTGCTTCCAAAGTACTGTGGAGTGCTCAAACCTTCAGGAAATTTCAGATACTATACATCATCCAATGATACAGAAGCAAGGTGTCAAAAGAAGCAAGAAACAGTTACTGTAAGAACAGAAACAGTGACTAAGCTGTAGAAATATTTAAAACCAGCATTTTAAAATAAAAAAGGGTGCTAACAACATTTTGCAAAATAAAGCACATGAAAGGCTGTGCTAGAGGCATATCTATATGGCATTTTTTCATGCTCACAAATGTTATGAGTCAATGTTATTAGCATGTACCCTTCTAAGTTACACAAAACTCAAGGAATAAAGAGAAAAAGAGACACACTTTGCAGGTGCCATCATAGTGCTCAGAATGCACTCAAGGAATGATTTCTATTATTCATTTACATGCTTAAAAATACAACACTTTTGCATAAAAAAGAAAACTGAATTATTAACTGCAGAGCATGAAATCTATCTTTCATAACCTGACTGAGAGGGCAAACTTCTATTACATTTTTTTACATCAGCATATTATGTTCATTTTCTAGAGAGACTATGTTTAAGTTCAAAAAGTTATTTCAGGTTAAAAAAAAGTCTGGCTCAGTTTGGTACTTTTTTACATTTCATGAAATAGCTTGTTGAAATGAAATGCATCCAAAAAAACATTTTCATTATTTTAAAAATGGCCAAATGTACAAAGTTCTTTTACTATTACAGAGATTCTGTGATTCCCACTCGGAGGAGGGGAATGACACGATGAAGAAAATGGGAGAATAACAATTTTTTTATTGTTTAGTCTTTATAAATTCTGCCTTTAAATAAGGTCACTATTTGGATTAGTTCTTTGCAGTTTATGTGCCTTCCTATGCTCAATGACAAGTGTTTGTTTTTTTTTTCTGATGAACTTTTACATGTGGGATAAAAAGACTATCAGTTTTGATTACTGTGACTCAGTTCTGGTTCCTGATGCATTTTCTGGGCTTTTTGTTGTGTCTCCCCTTTCTGGCAACTTCAGGGTAATGGAGCATCTCTTCGTGGACTATGTGTACTGCTTCCTGCATTCCCCCAGGATTTACTAGAACTGCCAGTTTCCCTCTTCTGTATGAACTGGGCATTAAACACACAGTTATTGGGTCAACAGGCAATGGACTCTAGTGAATGTGCAGCACGAAAAGATAATGAAGACTGTCTGGTCTGCGAACAAGATAAATTCTTTGAAGCCAGGATACTCTAGCAAAGATTTAATAAAACAACAAAAAGAAAAATGAACTGATCCAAGAAGAAAGAGCAGCATCACAAACTAACAGCTCTGACCTGCCAACAGCACTGAAGAACAAAGAAAATGAAAACATAAAGCTGCTCAAAAAAAACAGGAGCCAAGTCCAATACCAAGCTATATACAAAGTGCAAGGCAATTCCAAACGCGTGGGAAAGTACAGGCTGTCTTTGTTACTCTATCTCCTGCATGCATTTTTACTCTGTTCTCATCTTTTGATGCACGTAGGGCAGTACAGAATAGTCAGGCTGATTTTTTCCCTTTGTGAGTTAGAGAAGCATCATGCAGGGCATGGGAAATGCTCGAGGAGCATAGCCTACAAGCAGCCCAGCATGTTCCTGGGCTCAAGGTGGGGAGTGTGCATCATGGTATAATAGACAGATGAAGGGATGTGCCTGTCCTGTACTCAGAGGCAATACCTATGTTAAAGGTCATCCAGGCTCTGGAGTCTCCATCTGCTTGCATCACCACTGCTGTAAACAGTCATCCAGAACCTCAGCAGGGAAGGCATTCAGATCAGTCCACCCCAGTGTCTCCAGGGTGTTAGCAATCATTTTCTCAAACTGCTCAGTCTTCTCTGTTGCCAGTCTAACTATCACAGTGGGAGATTAAACAGTCGGGCTGAGAGAGAAAAATGAGCCTGAAGCATTAGCAAACTCTTTGTGGCTGGCACCCACCATGGACAGTTTTGCTTGGGTGTTTCCTTATCAGCATTGAGTCCTGGTTTTATGTGTGTCTGGCCAGATGAGAGATCCCCCCTCAGCATAGTAAACACTACTGCAGCAGGGAATGTTTCTTATTTGAGGTTGAATTAATTTCTATGTACAATTCAGGCTAAAGAGCAGCCTAAATAGTAGCTTCAGGAAACAGTGGGGCTAGTAGTGCCCCAGAGCTTCTGTGTAGCAAGGAAGGAGGGGAATCAAAATCAGCCAACTGTGGATGTCTGTTGGCCTCATTGTTGTTCTCACATTTGCAGCATAAGGACATAAGGACCGACATAAGGACAACATAAGGACCCAAGGCAGGTAGGCTCTAGGCACCCAAGTGAGGTGAATGAACTGTGTAGCTGGGGCAGCACCTTCAACCACACCCCCAGGAGTTCAGCTGAACTGGCCATGATGATAATGGGGTAGGCATAAGATACAAGGAGAGGGAGGGATATAAAATGACTGGCCTGAAGACAGCCTCCATCATTTGTGTATATTGGTGCAGAATGCAAATCTGAGGTGAATCTACCTGTTGTACTGAAACGAGCTGTCAGAACTAACCACTATGGTAAGTGAACTTGCAAGGACAGCAGGCAGATATTTAAAGGAGTGTGTAAATTGGATCAAATACAAGAGGGAGAGCAAGTTCATGGCTTGCTCTGACTGTGGAAGAATAAATGTGTCTCATTTGCACACACTTGATGAGATCCCTTTGCCACGTGAGTCATGAGTGAGCTTTGTCAATGGGGTTTCAGTTGCCAGAGAACCTGTCCTGGTTGTGACATGCCAGGTGGAGCTGTCAGCAGTGACACGTAGAAGAAAAATAATCTTTTAGTGCCTGACCTTGAGCTGGTTCAGTTGGGAATTGATTGAGGGTGAAAAAATACAGGACAGGATTATGGTATTTTCACAGCCTCTTTTCTGACCATAATTTCACTATACAGAAGTCGGTTGGCATCTATTGTTGGAATAAGTGCGTAGGGGGGAATATCTCCTTTCTCCTCTTGTGTTACACTGAAAGGTGGAATTAAATTATTCTGCTCACAGACAGATTGTTCCAGTAAAATAGAATTTGAAACCACAAGGGGCCCATTGAGAGGAGAAGCTTTTACACTATATGAAAATGCAAGAGACAAAACCCTTGCCAAACTCCTTTACTCTTTATTACTGACAGCTGCAATGCTGGATGTGTCCGGATGCCTTTTAAGTGCCAAGGGGAGTGACAGAGGTGGGATGGCATGTTAGCAGATGAAATACATGGCAGCTTCTCCCCTGATGGCAAGTTTAATTATTTGCCCTGCTGTATACACAAGGAAAAAATACACGTATATTGGGAAATCATTCACTCTGCTTCCCATGTCAGGTGGATTATGAAAAACACTTAACTCTTGTTGGTCAGAACAGAGTCTTAAAATGTTCAGAAACTGCACATGTCTTTGTCAAAGAAGGGAGACAAAACAAAATAGAATGTATTTCCTAAAGAAGGAGGATACGAATATATCAAGAGAGCAAACCCAGTTGTGCTTAACTGTATGAAATGAGATACACAACAGAAGTGAACCAAACCAAACTTCAAGCCAAAGAAATACTCTCTCCTATTTTCATTACAGAGGACTTACAAATGTATCCATTTCTGTCCTCTCTGCATTTTAAGATCATTGGAACAGGGAGCGTCTGATTCTTTTGTCTGTTCAATGCTTGGCCAACAAACAAAAAACTGTCTTGTTAGGATCAATTTTCAAACAACCCTGCTCCACGATCCAGAAGCTTGTGTGATATGTCAGAGTGAGCATTCAAGGTGAAATGGTCTAAGTCACTAGCTGTGACTCAAAATCATAAGCCATAAATAAACACTATCAGTAATAATATAATCTATGAAGCTATAGACCAGAGAAAAAAAGATGCAGACAGGATATCTTAAAGCTAAGGGTTAAATACAACTGATTCATAAACGACAACCAGGTGTTGTGGTTTAGGTGTCATGGTTTTGTCTGGGATAAAGTTAATTTTCTTTGTAAAGATTCACACAATGCTGTGGTTTGGATTTTTGATGAAAACGTGGTGATAAAACACCAATGTTTTTAGTGGTTGCAAAGCAGTGTTTGTACAGAGCCAGAGACTTTGCTGCTTCTTATGCTGCCCTGCTAGCGAGGAGGCTGGTGGTGCACAAGAAGTTGAAAGGGGGGACACAACCAGGGCAGCCGACCCAGACTGACCAAAGGGACATTCCATGCCATATGACATCGTGCTCAGCAATAAAAGCTGGGGTACAGGAGGAGGAAGGGGGAATGTTTGGACTGATGGAGTTGGTCTTCTCAAGAACCATTATGCATGATGCCCTGTCTCCCTGGAAGTGGCTGAACACCTACCTGCTGATGGCAAACAGTGAATTCCTTGTTTTGCTTTGCTTGTGTGTGTGGCCTTTACTTTAGCTAGTAAACTATTCCAGCCCATGAGTTCTCACACTTCATGAGTTCTCACATGAGAAGAGAATCTTTCTGATTCTCTTCTCATCCCACCTGGGGAGAGGAGAGTGAGTGAGTGAACGGCTCTGTGCTGCTTAGCTGCCTGCCAGGGCTAAACCACAACAGCAGGGTTATTTGGCAAGCCTTGATATACTTGCTTAAGTTGATGTCTAATGACTGTAAACAGTTCTTCTTGAGTAAGAGCCTGGTTCCATCCTACATGAATTAATCTCTGCAGCTGCTAACTTGAGCACTCCTAAGAATAAGGCCTATATAAGGACTGGGAGGTGTGAAGTGCAAGCTTATTGAAGACCTGCCAGCTTGAACCCCAACCGTACTACAGAAAGAATGCATTGTATTTTCTGAGTGGCTCTGGGGTAGTCCTGCAGCCAATTCTTTCTTGGATCTTGCAAATGCAATGTTTGTTCATGCAGTAAGCTTATTCCTCTTTGCATTAATGCAACACTGGCTGCTGCCCTGCCCTTAGCACATACTCCTAATTATGAAGATTGCTAATATGTCATCTGAGATCATACAATCAAGACAAGACAAGCTTTTCAGAGAACATTTTGCAGCATTTCAAGCAGATAACCACATCTTGCACGTAGTGGTATTAATTAAGGATATTTCACAGATAAACCATTTATGAAAGTGTCTGCTGGTCCACAGATCAGTGCCTATATTTGAAAATGAAAGGGAAACAAGCTGCTGGTATGTAAAGAATTCAGATAGCTATTGTTTCACATAACTAGAGTAAATTTAGTGAAGCTTTAGGCCACAGCATGAGCTCTGCAACACCTGAACCTGGTGTATAATGGTGATTGAGCAACAGTGAGAGTCATTGTGGGGGCGCCTAGGTGGCACCAATGGGGAAGGGGGAGGGTGTGCTGAACAAGGATGGCACCGGCTCAGAGCCTGCCCCAATAACAGAAGCCACCCTGCCTAGAGAGTTAACAGAAGCCATCCAGTCCTGGGCGATAAAAGAAGTCATGGTTTCCTGCAACAAAGAACCATCAGTCTGAAGGAACACAACGTATACGTGTTATGAAGAACTGACTGGACTATAGTGGATGAAAAAAAGGTTGTACAGGTATAAGAAGCCAGGGAAAATTTTGAGCAAGGTTCCTCCCTGGAGGCACCCAGCTCGAGCTGATATATGGGTACCATTAAATTTTTGCTGCTTTAACTAAATGTCCCTCTGTGAATGAGTTCTGGATGCCTGGGAAGACCCATTCTGCTAGGGGAAACAATGGAATCCCCTAACAGAAAACCAGTTAGACACACTAAAACACTTTGTAAAAGCTTGATATGCAAAAGAAAAGAAAACACTAGGACTTGCCTCACAGGGGGAGTTCCTCAAAGGAGCTGGAAATGCAGTGCTGGTTATTGCAGTGTTTGCCGCTGCTGGTGCTTTGCTGGTGTCAAAGATCAGCCCACAACCTGGATAAAAGAGCAGGAAGAATGTCAAACTGCAGCACTCATCTCTTCTGGTTCTGGGGCTCGTGAAGCCTTCCTAAAGTCTATGTAAGCTGGCTCCTACTACAGCAGGATGCCAGACAGCAGAAAGCTTTTTTCAATTTATTAGGGATGCAGTTTCACCTACCAATTTGGCATACTCAGGAAACATATTTAAGCAGTCTGACTACCTTCCTCTTACAGCTATTTTCTGTTCCTCCATGACTTCAAATTCATATTCCTTGCAAGTGCGAATAAGAAAAAGAATCTTTTATAAACAAAGAGTAACTTGGAAACAAATATATTTAGCTTGGTCAAAACAAAACAAAACAATGTCAAAATAACAGCAGTGTACTATTAATGCAGCTTGAGGTCCCTTTGCTCCTTTAATCATTTATTGTAACCAGAGGAACTGGGGTTGTTTCACCAGGATGGACAGCTAAACTCCACCCCAACTGTAAAGGCTCATGGGCTGAGATAAGGATAATTTAATTAAAGGGAGAAGAAAGAGAAGAAATAAGCAAAAAAACACGTGAGCAAAGAGAGAGAAAATTATTCTCTGCTTCCCATCAGCGAGTGATGTTTGGCTATGTCTTGGGAAGCAGGGTCTCAATATGCATAGAGGTGGTTTGGGAGGACAGATTTTTTCATAACAAGAGCCTTCCCTTCTCCTTCCCCTTTCACAGCTTTTATTGCTGAGTGTGACATATGGAATATCCCTTTGGAGAATTTAAGGACAGCTACCCTGGTGATGTTCCCTCCCCATGTCTTCCCCACCCCCAGTCTATGAGCTTTGGGGGGGTTGGAGAGAGTCTTGATGCTGTGCCAGCATTGCTCAGCAATAGACAAAACGTTGGTGTGATATTAACGCTGTTCTAGCTACAAGTGCAGACCACAACACTACATGGGCTGCTGTGAGGAAAGCTAACTCCATCCCAGCCAGACCCAGCACAGGAGCATGGGCAGTAGTAACACTACAGTTCTTCCATGGCAGCTCGGGATGGAGAGGTGTTTATTTTCACTACTTTAGCTCTACCCTCCAGCTCAGGAGGGTGCCACTACTTAGAGCCTGGTTATTTGGGCTTACACTGAAAATGCCTCTACAGCACAGACAGATCACAAATCAGCAGCACTTTATTGCAATCTCCCAACAGCTACCTCTTTCTGGCACTTTACATCCTTGTTTACCTATGCATCAATCTCTTTGTGGTCTGCAATACTGTGGGCTGAGCCATCAGGTGGCATAAATCAGAATAGCTGCATGTAGCCTACACCAGTTCACATAAAAGCAGAGAATCTCACTCTTCATCTTTAGCTCTGGATCTAACTTTGGAAATCAATGCTGGGATTATACACCATTAACTCTGCTGTTATTACAGTATCCCTTTAGATCCTCTGTGCCTGAGCAATAAATGCCTTCTATGATTTACATTATTGCATTAGGAAAAACTTATCCTGGCAGGCAGTCTGTTTGTCAAAACTCAACCAGCAGTAGTTCAATGACCAAGGCATAAACCTTCAATGGCTGTATGAGATCGATTAAAAATGAACTCTTGGAATTTGGGTAGTGGAAGCAAATACACAGTAGTTACACATAGAACTGGAACTCAAGGGACAACAGAGCAAAGAGAAGGAAAATTTAGAAGTCTGTGTGAGGGGAAAAAGAAGCAGAACAGAGAAATGGAAGAAGTAAAATCAGAAAGAAAAAAAAAAAACAAAAACACAAAAACACACAAACAGATCAATAAGGTAGGGGGGCACAAAGATGAATACCTCATGGGAAGTTTTTTAGAAACGGTCAGGACTACTCTCTCTGGTGTCAGTCTTGGAAACCTGAGGTACCAGTCTGTACCCTCAAGATAAGAAGTGAGCAGGATAGTCTTTTGCTCAAAGCACTTGTAGTAGAAAAGTGTTTCTTGTTTCACTGGAGGCTGAATACATAATCACACAGGAAAATGTGACTCGTGTTTTATTCTATCTCCCTGCTGTTTGCTTATCTTTTTTTTTTTTTCATTTATTTTTTTTTCTGCTATCCATTCTCTGCACTTGCTATTTACTTTCACATACCTTCTATTGAAGGAAAGCGATCATAGTCTGGACTTCCAATTCGCCATGGAGAAGCACGGGATGCTGATGAGCTGTGTATCCAGCCACAGTCCCCTTCTTCAAATGAACAGTAAAAGCCAGGGGGAAGATTTTCTGAAAGAAGGAGAGACACACACATACAGAAGAACCCAGATGAGCTGTGGATGAGATATCTGAGCACACAGAGAAGCTGACAATTCTGACAGGGTTGTCCAGGGACGTGCAGGCAACCCTACAGCTACTCAGTCCTTCTTTGTGGAGTCACACTTGTGCCTTACCGTAGGGAAGATGGCGGTGAGGGAAGCAACCCCTAGAATAAGTGACTTCCCCCAAATTTTGACAAACCCAAGGAGGAGGACATATTTTGGTAGACACTGTGGGGTCTCCTAAATACCTGGCCTCTACAGCCAGGGAAATCTTGGACAGTGATATTTCCTAATGTGTTTCCTTTCCATGTCTCTAGCTATCTCTAAGTCCGTCCAGCTCAGCATTGTGGCTTCTCCTCTCTGTGAACGCTGCCTTTAATGGAGTAAAGCACTAAATCCTTTTGTGCTTCATTTTTTGTACCTGTGGATCTGTTTGGTGAGATGAATGGATGAAAAGAGAACAGTTTATTTTAAGTAATACTTTCAGGATTTGAAACCCACTCATTCTGTCACTGGCTTGGGATTTCAGGCAAGTTTCCAGCTCCAAACAATAAAGACACATTAACTATGTGTCTTTATAATTAAATTAACTGGTTTTAAAATAATAGTCATCTCATGCAAAGCAACACAACTTCACGCCTTCTCCATCTCCTTTTCTGTGCACATCCCAAGTTGTTCTTACAAAATGTGCAAAGCGCTACTCCTTTTGCCCTGAGACGTAGACTTACATTGCCACAGGTGAACATGCTCACAACTCACCCATTTCCTTGAAAACTTGTGAAATCATTTTTCTCATCATCCTTAATAAACATGCATAGCCTCTACTGCTGTCAGGTTCTACCTTTCCATTTCTGTTCTTCCACATGAGGCCAGATTGTGACCTTATTAAGTAATTTTAGCAGAAAATGAACCTTGTAAAACACCACATAAAACCACTACCACTATAACGTGATTTTCACTTTTAGTGAATAAATAATGACCTATAATACAAAATCTGCACCCAGGGTGAGGCTGACAACTCTGCCACACACCAGAAAGCTTCCCAGTGGTAAAAAGGGCATAAACTGTCTTTTATGGGGAAAAAGGTGGAGTACAAAAGTAGCCTGGGAGAAAAAGATGCAGTTTAAATACAGAGTTATGTTATGCATTAAAGATGCTAGAAGAGAAGCAAAGAAGAGTGATCATCCCTTATGTCCTGCTATATAGACTAACCAGTCCTTGAACCTGGCAGCACAAAGCCCCTGAACATGCATACTCAGTGGGGGTGGTCTTTCCTCCAGTAAGCAAAAGAAAACTGCTCTGATGACTAGAACTAGCTGTAAAAGAGCTGATGATATTCTTGACTTCTCACAGCTTCTACACCATTTTGTACTCAGCTCTGTGCTAGCTACCAGTGTAACCCATATTCATTTTCTCCATCTCTATTCTCCTCAACTTCCCCTAAAAATGTCTTTGTTGGTTTTTATTTTTTCTTGAAAGGAAAGAAAATGGGACCAGAAATCTGTTTGAAATTGTAAGATAAAAATGAAATTTCATGTGCGAACACATTATAAAACCATATATACAGGAAATTAGTTTTTCCTTTCAACTGCTTGTCAAAGTCAGAGTAAAAATTTCTTGACTTACAAAGAGTTGGTTAGACTACAAACTCCTAAGTTTGGCCAGGTTATACCAGCAATTTCATTAGCTTCCCTATGAGAAGAGGAGGTTCCTGAACTCAGATTTTTTCATGATTATGAAGACAACTTCAGAGGGAAGAATTCTATCTATAAAGTCTGTGCCAGACAATAAGGCACCAGTACCCAGACCCCAGATAATTCACGATGTTTACATCTCATCAGAACTCTCTGACTGAGGTTGCAGCTCAATTAAATAACTGCTCACAGGGCTTCAGCTCTGATTTATGCATAGAATCATGGAATGATTTGGGTTGGAAAGGACCTTTCAGATCATCTAGTTCTACCTTCCCTCCCAGCTACCCCCAAATGGCAGGGACACCTTCCACTAGATCAGGTTGCTCAAAGCCCTATCCAACCTGTCCTTGAACACTTCCAGGGAGAGGGCATCCACTGCTTCTCCAGGCAACGTGGTCCAGTGCCTCGCCACACTTCACAGTAGATATCTAATCTAAACCTGCCATTTTTTATTTTAAGACCATAAACCCCTTTTTCTGTCACTATGGTCCCTGAAGAAGAGTCCCTTCCCATGTTTCCTGTGGGTCCACTTTAGGTATAGGTATGCAACTATTGTCCCCCCGGAACCTTCTCTTGTATAAGCAACACCATCTCTCACAACCTGTCCTCACTGGAGATGGCTCCAGCCCTCTGATCATCTTCATGGCCCTCCTCTGGACCTGCTCTAACAAGTCCATGTTTTTCTTACACTGGGGGCCCCAGAGTTGGATGCAGTACTCTAGGTTGGGTCTCCTAAGAATGGAGTAGAAGGGGGAGAATCAACTCCCTAGACCTTTCTGAACTTCTTTTGATGCAGCCCAGGATATGAATGGTTTCTGGGCTGCAAGCACACATCTCAACAGGAAACTCCTTGGTCTACCCTGAGAAAAGACCTGGGGAACATACCTGCATTGTCCAGACATGGAATATTTGATTTTCTATGAGCCTGAATAAACAACTCACTTCACAGAGGTGACTGAGACAAATGACACCTATTGATTTTTAGTAAGGTCAAATTTGAACCTGGAACTTGACATAGAGGTGAGAGCCATGTTTTACTGCTTTATTTTCCACAGTCATGCAAATCTATTATGTAAAGATCAGAACCTGTACTTGAATTGAGGGGTTTTCGAATCTTCCCTTTAAAATGTCTCCAAATTCATTCAGCCTAGTCTTTAAATGTAGAGCTGTTAAGCTGAGAGTTGCTTCCCTGTGTTTTACCACTCTGCAGAACTTGATTATATTTCATTGTGCAGCCTGAGGCTGAGATCCAAAGAAAATGACAAATTATAATGTGCCCTGAATTCCTACTGAAACAGCTTGGCTTGGTGTCCAGCTGAATTCATTTCATGGTCCTATGTTATCTAGGATGATGTAAACAAATCAGAGCAGCAGGAGGAGTCATCTAAGTAGTAATCCTTGCCTGGAGGCCAGAAAAAGCTCGCTGTAGATGAACAAGTAAGGACATAAATAAGAACCTATTACTTTCCCAGAAAATTTGATTCCTCCTCCACAAATTAATCTTTTATGAATTTTCAGATGCCTTGAACACTGCTCTGTCTTGGAGGCCGGTCACTAGTGGCGTCTCCCAGGGCTCAGTACTGCGGCCAGTTCTCTTCAGTATCTTTCTCAATGATCCGGACGAGGGGATCAAGTGCACTATCAGCAAGTTTGCAGATGACACCAAGTTAGGCGCAAATGTTGATCTGCTTGAGGGCCAGAGGGCACTGCAGAGGGATCTTGGACCGATGGGCCAAGACCAACTGTATGAGGTTCAACAAGGCCAAGTGCACTTGGGGCAGAACAACCTCATGAACTGCTACAGGAAGAGGGTCTGGAGAGCTGCCCGGCGGAAATGGCCCTGGGGGTATTGGCTGAAGGAGGACTTAGCAGGACTAGGGAAGTGATTGCCCATCTGTACTATGCTCTGATGAGGCCGCACCTTGAATAATGTGTTCAGTTTTGGGCCGCTCACTACAAGAATGACATCGAGGTGCTGGAGCATGTCCAGAGAAGGGCAATGAATCTGGTGAAGGGTCTGGAGAACAAGTCTTATGAGGAGCGGCTGAGGGAACTGGTGTTATTTAGCCTAGAGAAAAGCAGGCTCAGGGGAGACCTTATCGTGTAGTACAAATACCTTAAAGGAGGTTATAGTGAGGCAGGGATTGAACTCTTCTCCCAAGCAAGAAGTGATGAGGGGAAATGTCCTCAGATTGTGCAAGGGGAGGTTTAGATTGTATATTAGTTGAAATTTCTTTTCTGAAAGAGTTGTGCAGCATTAGAATGGGCTGCTCAGGGAAGTGGTCGAGTCACCATCCCTGGAGGTCTTCAAGAAATGTGTAGATATAGAACTTAATAGCATGGTTTAGTGGTGGACTTGTTAGTACTAGGTTAAAGGTTGGGCTAGATGATCTTAGAGGTCTTTTCCAACCTGAATGGTTCTATGATTCTATGATCTTACTTTATATACATACAGCACCTACGATTCCATATGTTACTACTTCACAAAGAGCATTTTGGCTAGCACTTCTTCGTTAACATGTACTCCTCAATTTTCTGAATGCTTATGCTTCAAATTCACATTAGCATAAACACTGCACTGATGAGGGAAAGCTAATCTTACCGTATTATAAAATCAATTAAAGCAGGAGTCAGAAGTTATATCTACTGAAACCTGTCATGCTGGATATTATCACCAGTGTCAGAAACTTCAAAAGGTTTAGAACTCATTAAGAGTAAGATGCAGTTTGTGGATTTGGGACAGAGTATAGAGTAATCCAATCACACTGAAGCACTATGAGAATGCAAGTCTCTGCTTTTCTTTGATTGAGAATGTACAGAGAAGCTGTAGGGTGTTAAACTTGTTCTTAACCAAGTATTTTCAGGACTTCAGAATGATTTTAAAAGAATGATTTTTTTTAAGTTAAAAACTTTAACTCAGATTTTCCATCCTTTAATAGCAAGAAAAAATAGCAACTGGAGTATTTTATGATGCAGATGGAGCAGGTTCTCTATTGTTTGCCTCTTGACTCAAAACCAGGTGTAAATGAACAGGTACTATAGTTTAAAATTCAGGGTGAAATTCCAGACGTGTTATAAAGGATATAAATGTAAAAGACTACTCATCTGTGTATAGACCTTTACCAAATGTAAAGATGTAAAATGTAGGAGAAAATCGCAGAAGGCAAAAAGATCACCTACTCAAGCAATTTAAAGAAGCACATGAATCTTAAATGTGAGCTTGTTTTCAGTGACTGTGTCTGTGCTAGCAAAGTTGTCTGACAAATTCTACCAGAAATGAAGTATAGAAAGGGAAAATACAATTCAACACAGTATACAAAGACTTTTCCTTTAATGCTGGAAGGCATTGCTAAATTCAGAACTGCCAGTAGTTAAAATTCATTGCTAGAGGTGCAGGTTTTGATCAAGAAAGGAACAAAAGAATTTGTGTATGCATGACAGGAACCTTAAGAGAGCACTGCAATGCAACAGGTTGCTACACTTCATTTTGCTTGCAGGGAGAATCTGCTGGGCTGTAACTACCTCTAGGACATAAATGAATCAACTGTTTTTATGCATGGAAAGTAAACTGGCTCCTGTAGAATTAATTATCTTTTTTTTGTTGTTGTTGTTTTGTTTTGTTTTGGTCACTTGCTCATGTTATCACAAATTCAAACTTTATAGTTTCCTATCCTAGCTGCCATCTGTTTCTTGACAGATGTGTGTGCACTCCTCTGACTACACAGAGTTGAAGCTTGAGTCACTGCTAATATGAATCAGATAGTAGTCCTTCCTATCTTACCTGTTAACGTGATTCCATTTTGTTTAACATTCTTAAATATTTGTTGAGGCAAAGAGTGAAAATTAAAGTGATTATGAGATTCATCTGAAAGGTGGAGGACAGAATTTTCAATTCCTCTTCCAGGTAACATTCATAAAATGTGGAAGAGCAACACCAGGAACGAATGAGTAACCCTTTTCAAACTGCATGTTCCACACCACACTGTCTTGGAAACTTTCAATGGAAACCAGAAATATGTGTCCAAATTCACTTAGAGAGAAAACAGGATCAATTCTGGGTTTGTCATGTCCTGGGTGAATCCTGTAAGCTGTGGGTCTCCAGATAATAAATATACTATCATCACTTCAATTTAGTAATATTCATATTAATATATCCATAACTTTCATATATGCTTTGCCTGATTAACCAATATTTTCCCAGGCTGATTTTTTTTTGGTGGAAAAAAAAACCTGAGCAGAAAGTATGATAGTTTTAGACTAGAGACTAGTTAAAGAATGCTTTTTTTTTTTTTTCAGTAAAACTTTTACTTTTGCCTAGACTTGCTGCCCTGCAGCAAAAGATTCTTGAACCAAAAGCAAAGATATTGTTACCTAAAAAGAGAAGTACCAAACTACTGAAACAAATTCTCCTCTTTGGTAGTGCAGACCTGTATCAATAAGTATTAATAAAGAATGGAACTTTTCATCTGTCTTGTACCATACCACGCATACTACATACATGATTCTCTGCTCCACTGGGAAAAAATGTTTGTTTTTTTTTGCAGTAAGTTGTGATTCATGATCAGGAATTTACTAGTAAAGACATAAGACCACCACTATCTGAAATCTTAATGTGTGTTTGCAAAGTATGCTCCTGCAAAGTAACTTCCAGTGTGGTGCTTCTATCAGTCTGTAAACTTTTTAAATCTGATCACAGATCAACACAGTTTGGCATCTATTTCTACATCTGCGTCTTTGAAGCTGTCTTTTTCTCCTGTGAGAATAATTGATTATGACTCAAACAGCAACATTTTTTTTCTCCAGGGGTCACCCCTGTCTAATTTTACATTCTCTACAAAGACTAATTGGTTACATGCAGAATGAGCACCATGACTTTGCATTGGCTATTGGGAAATAAAGAGATGTTAACAAACAGCAGGTTTTAGGAGATATTTTTCAGCTAAGAAACAAATAAAAATCAAGTGAAGGGAAAGGGAAAGGGAAAGGAAAAAGGAAAGGGAAAGGGAAAGAAGCATCTAAACAGCTAAAAGACTGTAAGGAAAAACAAGAAAACACCATCTTTTTTTGAAAAACAAACCAATACAAACTACATTCTTTTTTTACATGACCTTTAGTTAATGGTTATTTTAAAAGCTCTCCCCTCAGTTGCAAGCATGGCTACATCTTTTTCTGACAGCTCTTTTGTGTACACAGAAGTGCTTGGGAAAACCCTTTCCCTTCCCTGCTTTATACATCTGAATCACTTCTTGTCATACTTGCAAAAAGCTGGTGGTAACATGCATGTTGCTCAGAACTAAACTGGCAAGTGAAATGCTGAAAGATGACATATGCTTTGTGCTGGGTTGCCATGCAGATGTAACTGACTTTTAAAACATTATTTTTCTGTTCTGTGAAAGCAGCTTTATGCCAATGATATTCAACACAGCAAAGAGGCAGAGAAAGCAGCCACAAAACCGAGTAGGTTTTATGGGGCTAAGCAGACATATCCACAACCCAAGCACTTGCAAGCTAAGGGCAAGCCTGTATTTTTGTTTCTTGCAGTGGAAGATGGTGCCTTTTGGGTCTTTTGGCTGGGGGAAAAAGTCTCATTGCCAGTACCTGTGGTTTAAAACAAGCCATGTGGTCTTCTTCTCAAGCTGGGGAGTGACATTCTGCTAAACAGGTGGTTAAATATCTTCTGCTTTTAACCTTCTCTATATTTTCAGTAAATACTTTGCCAACATAGCTGTAAGCGCTATACTGCTTCATGCCAATAGCTATGGATGAATAATACTGCATACATGGCTAAAAGGCAACCACATAAACCCACGTGGACAGCTTATCTGAAAGTAGGACTGGTCACCCTACCACCTGGCTCACTATGGGATACAGCCTAGCAGCTAATGGCAAAAGCAGAGCCAGACTCTTTATTTGTGAATACTGATAAGACAACAGCCACAGGTGCACCCAGTGTTTGGAAATAATAGGCAAGCGTGTTTCATGAGGCCTGACCTACCCTATGATGGCATTTAGTTTGCATCTGTGACAAGTACAACTCTACCTTGGAGCTCTACTGTTCCCACTAGCATGGACAGCATTACCCTCGCAAGGCAGAACCATTTATAGCAGATAGACAGGACTGTATACCCAGGCGTATACCTGATCCATCTTAAATAATGGTAAATAATATGTCTCTGCACTTCTAATGAAATGACAATGCATTCAACTTAATCATTAGCATAATTGACTAAGTATTTTAAATTAAAATGTAGAAAATAGGAATACCATTATGAAGTCTGAATATGAAGATGATCAAGGGACTGGGGCACCTCTCCTGTGTGGAAAGGCTGAGAGAGCTGGGCCTGTTCAGCCTGGAGAGGAGGAGGCTCAGGGGGATTTTATCAATGTCTATAAATACCTGAAGGGAGGGTGCAAAGAAGATGGAGCTAGGCTCCTTTTAGTGGTTCCCAGTGACAGGGCAAGAGGTAGTGGGCACAAACTGGAACATAGGAAGGGTCTACCAAAGCATCAGGAAGCACTTCTTTATTGTGCAGGTGACAGAGCACTGGCACAGGTTGCTCAGAGAGGCTGTGGTGTCTCCCTCCTTGGAGATGTTCAAAAGCCATCTGAACATGGTCCTGGGCAACCTGCTGTGGGTGTCTCTGCTTGAGCAAAGGGGTTGGATCAAATGATCTCCTGAGGACCCTTCCAACCTTGACCATTCTGTGATTCTGTGATTCTGTTTTAGATCTATGCTGTAAAGTTCTTAGGCAAAACAGTTTTGATACCAGTAATATGAAGCATTATTGGTTCTAAGCAGCTGCAGGACAGCAGTGATGACACTGTTTCTGTGATTAACTACATGACTAAAAAACCACCGCTCCTCAATATCTGTAGACTGACAAAAGGAAACGCAGTGGAGGTAGAACACATAAAGGTACAGAAAAAAGAGACAAGGCATTTTCAAGATGGTTAATGGATGGTCCTAAAGTATCTAATTTAAGCAACACATTTACAGAAATATTTAGGCATAGAGAACTTTTTCAGAAAATGCAGATTGCTATTTAGCTTCTGATTTATGTTATTCAATTACTGGCTGCTGAAGAGAGAACCGAAAACAAGAGTAATTACAAAGACAGGAGTAGGAGCTGGTCACACACAATCTCCTGCCTCTGCTCATTTTTCTTACCTTGGAAGTTTTCTTCTTTCTCTTCCTTCTGCCACATGCTGATTAAGGGTGCTACATTTTGGTTAAGGGCACTAACAAGCTACACGTTTCGTTACTCTATAAGGCATGTAGCTATTTAAGCTATTCTTTCTTTCAATTTTTGGTCAGGATTTTGTTAGATGAAGCACTGAAAGCAACTTAAGAACCTGTTGCAGAACTAATAAAGGCAAACACAGAAACATACTGAATGGTCCATTCTAGGCAGACGTTCAGAGAAAGTGCATGTGTTGTGGAGGACACTGGTCTTTTGATAGCACCAAATTAGTTCATTACTACTGAAGTCTCAGGCATTAAAACTCAAAACAATCTGTGCTTTTGGAAGCAGCTGTTCAGCTTCTCTCAGAAGGAAAAAGGACACATCCTGAGGATCTGGATTTACTCACTGCACATATCTCCCTCATCTTCTCCCTCAAGGCAGTCTCTGATGAAGTCACATGCCTGGCCCAGCCTGATCGATGTACCATTCCAGCAGATGAAAGAACCCTCCAGAGCCATTTTTGATACAGAAGCAGATCCTAGAGAAAAAGAAAACAAAAGCCATTTCAGGTTACTGAATTGCCTTTCTCCAAGCCAATAGGCCATAGGATCCTAGATAACACTGAACAGGAGAAAGACCTTGTGAAACCCCCTTAGTCCACTAATTACTTGATAAAGTAATTATTTTATTTTTGTTCAACATGTTTGTTTTGCCAAATATCTAACAGCCCACCGAATGCAGAACTTAAGTTCTTCGTGCATGTCTGTCATTGTTACTTGGAGGGCAGCTCTGAACCTTGTAAAGAGGGTTGAAATCCTACAGCCTGCTCTATGATACTTCTCAAGAATGACATGATATGCATGATCCCCTCCCCATGAATCTGGGAGTCCTGCAGCAGTCTACATCTACCAGGAAACAAAAATCACTCATTCATTTTCCCTATGCCAAGCAGCAAAAGGCAGCTAACAATGTTGTGGAAAGTAACCAACTCTTGTGACATGTCACCGAACACGTGTACCATCCATTCACAATCAGCCAGTACCATCTATTCAGAAATGATTCTGAGTACTAAGGACCCTTAGTGTGCTAGGGATCCTTACCACAGTCCTTCTTTAGAGGCACTCCTTTCCCTTGTCACTTGAGTAGTCAGAGATCATACAGCCTGATGAGCATAATTTTCCTTATCATGGGACTTCTCAACCTGAATCCTTTGACTGTGTCTGAGATACACACACAACAAGGACTGATTTGGCTATTTAATTTAATTTTAATTTATTTTTTAAATCCATGCTCCAGATCAGTCACCTGCAGGAAGTATGAGTTAGTTAAGACCAACCTACAGTCAGTATGTAAGGAGGAGGCCAAGCTTGCTAAGTGCAAGAGCCCCCTCCACAATAATCTGGATGTAGAAAGAAACCTTCCTCATGGTCTGCACAGATATGTTTCCACTTCATCACTCCTAGAAGGCAAGTCTAGAAGTACAAAGAGGTCTGTGCTGTGAATTCCCCACTGCAAAAACTCCTGCCCTGTCTCTTATTGAATGGGTAAGTGCTAAAGATTAAACCAAAGCCTCTGGGCAGAGTGAGCCATTGTTTGCCTAGCTCATCCATGCTTGCTAAACAGTGCAGCTACATCATGTTCTCTGGTACAGCAGGGAGCTGGGAATCATCGGTGATTCAATTAGATGTGCACTTGATAGTTTTATTTATATTGCCTGCCAAAACTAAAAATTAATGAAGCATGGAGGAAAACAACCACTACTTCTCTTCAAGCTTGTTTTATGGTGCAAATCAATTCAGGAGTGGGGGGAATACATGTCAAATTTTTTTAATAAAAGACCCTGGCTCCTGAAAAGGGTGATCTTTGTTATTGTCAGCTCAATTCTTTTGACTGCCTTGGAGCAATTCTGTCTTGCTGCATGCAAGCTGCACGGTGCCCTTGTATTTCAGTCAGGGTCAAAGCATGAGTACAGAGGAGAGTTTCACAGAAAAAAAAATAGGCCAAGTAACTCAACCCAGTTGGTTGCTGACAATTTCTGCAGGCCCCTTGGTAAAGGTTTAAGGCAGTGTAGAATGATATCCTCCTTGCCCTTGCAGTGCTCCTTGCAAAAATGCTCTCTTAAAAGACACTGCCTTTCCTCTTCACTTGCCTCAAACCAGTCCCAGTGTGCAAATGAGAAGTGACTCCAGTAACTCAGTAAGTGATCCCTTCTCCTTGGGGTATGCAATGAAACTGTGGTGTACTGTGTTCCCAGTACACATCTAAGTACCACCCAGGATAAGAGTCAAGACCCAGAATGATTCCATTAGGTTAGAAATATTGTGACATTCTTAAAAATGATGAAGTCCTAGTCAAATTTAGAAGTATTTTTGCTTCTCTGAATTTTTGCCACATATTTGTCAAATACGCTTTTGAAGGAATTCCCACATTTATTACCAGCTCTCATATCCCACTTGGTTTACCTGCAACCTTTTCAGTAATCTCTGTGGTTTAGCCCAGCAGCTGCTGTGTTTGAAGATCATATGCAGATGTTCAGAGGAGGGTCTTGTAGGCAATGGAGTTGTTCTGTTTATTCAATTAATTACAACTTTGTAAAGACACTTGGTTTTCCAAGCACAAGACTGCATTAACTCTAATTTTAATGGAACTGAGGTATTCAAGAGCACCTACTGTCTTCCCAGGTGTCTTTCGTGCATCCCAAAAGCATAAATCCCCTGAAATAAACTCACTGTGGTAATAAAAGCCATCAGTTGCAGCTAGACATTAGGTGATTACAGGAGATTGTCCTTCAAAAGAAACAGCAGGTTTGCATGCTCATTCATTTTTGTGGAGATGGCACTTGAATTAGCTCAGATTTACATTAGATGCACATATTCATACATGCTCTTTATATAGGTTAGAGAACACAAATAGCAAAGCAGCAGCTGAAGGAAAGACTGGGGTCTGTGACAGTGCACGAATGTCTCTGTCTTCTGTTTGCTTGCTTACTGTATGCACAAAGGCAAAATGAATCGGAAAAAAAGAGAAGATAAACTAATAAGACAAATACCTAATCAAAAAAATCCAAATAAAAACGACCCTTTTAATGGGCCACTTGATGCAGATGTTTGCAACCAAGCTCAAGGAAACTTAATCTTCAATTAAAATATTTTGTAACAAAAACAGACCTTTTATCTGACTTTTCATTTCCCAGCCCCTACCACTCCTGGCCAGCTGAGCCAGAATGACCTGGATCACTAAGTTAAGTGGTCTAGACTCATACACAGAAGATGTGCAAGGAAAGGAAAATGAATTGCATCAAATAAGTATCAAAGTAAAAATTGTGGGAGACATCCTTTATATTTACAACAGTGTTTATGTAGCCAGTGGCATCCATAAAGTACAGTAATCATTAAGCTGTACCATGGCTGGCTTGGAGTCTTATAAATCATTGTTTAAGCAACAACTTTAAACAAATGCCATTTCAGGCTCTAAATCAAAAGGAGAAACAAACAACTCCTTGGGGAACAAGTGCTTACTTTGTACCTCACACTTTCTGCTTCTGAACACAGCCCAGTCTTAGCAATATTCAAATCCACTACCAGACCCTGGACAGAAATGATACATCCTGGGCTCTTGATTCACTTGATTCACATGATTTTGGAGTTAGTCTTTGTGCAGCATGATCAGCATGAAAGACAAAAATGGCATGGCTTAGCCTAACATAGGATAAGCAACTTACTGCTCAGACTGTGGGGCCAAGGTGGTTATAATTTACTTTGCAGCAGATGTTCCTCAGGTTTCTTCAGACTTCCTCTTCTGCCATCCTTCCTTGATCAACAGAGAAACTGGCAAGTTCTGGTAAATTGGTCCCTGAGAAGTGTAGCTAAGTATGATGTTTGCTCATGACACTTGCTCAACTGATGGCTGAAAAATGAGAACCTTATACTCACTACCACCACACTTGGCCAAGAGGAAGAGAAGACAAGTTCCTACAGGTTTTTGCAAAGACATCCCTTATCCTGCAAACCGACTGCACTACTAAATATCATGCAAGATCAATCAAGCTGAACATAATTATACCTTCAAGTGTTACATGGAACTTCTCAGGCCATAATTTTCAATGGTACTGAAACCTGGGACCACCACAGCCAGGTAACGCACTGCCACTCAGTGCACAGAAAAACAAGAGAGGCTAATGGGTCAGTTACTCAGTTGCTGTGAAAAAGTGAAAACAAAGTGAAAACTTCCATTTTTAATTGCACGTAAGTAGTAAGAAATATCCACACGTGGAACTCCCCCTGCTTATCTTGCCACGCACAATACTCCTCAAAAAAGAGAACTTTCCTAGTGTTTAATTACAGCTCTTCAAAAATACTGTAAGAAGCTAGTGTTGCAGTCTCATGCTCCTCCCTCCAGCCACCAAAAGTCACTGAAAACCATGTGTTGTGGACCATTGCTGATATTACTCACCTGCTACAAGTATTCATCATTATCTGCTCATTTTTCTTTGGCGGGAGTTCAAGGCCCTGAGTCAGAGATATTTGAAAAGAGCGTACTTGGGGATTTAAAGGTTGCACGAAACAAAGAAAAACTGTTGCCTAGCTATAAAGGGATAGTGAGAACTCGAGGGAGTTTTTGATTATTGATTTTGCTGTGACTCGCCCATTCCTCATGGGCACATCGTCTCCTCACTCTTCATCTCTAACTTGTCAGCCTTATAGCAGTGCAGGCATATGCAGGTTGATGGGTCACTTGGTGCTGAGGATAGCCATATCCCAGGACAAATTAAATTGTCCATTGTCAGTGAGTCTGTAATACCTCTGCCTCCACCACTGCAGAAGTCAGAACGTGCAAAATGAAGGATGTAGGAGAGTGAAAAAAGCAAGAAAAGTTCACGTTTAAGGGAACTGCAACCATCCTTAGCAAATGGCCAATGAATGCCAACATGATACAGGGCAGACAGATAAAGTACAGCTTTCACAGCCAGCTAGACTGCCTTCATTTTCCAGGTACCCACCCCAGGACACTTGTTTGCAGATCTGCAGAAAAGCCTACCAATCACAGCTGCAAACGAGACCAGAAAGAGATATGCCTGAAAAATACAATGTCCTCAAAAAAGGCTTTGAAAAAAGATTGGATTCTAGATTTCCCAAGCCAGGAAGCCAAAATTAGTCAGCACTTCATGATTTCTGGCTTTAATCTTTGTTACAGCATTAGTACTGTTGTTGTGATTGCCTAGGGATGCAAGTAAAGCCACATTTGTAGGAGGTGGTGATCTCTTGTTATTAGACTGCCTGATACAGGCAGAAATTGCAGCCAATGTTTGTATGTCTGAAAACTTACCCATTTTTCCAGTCACATAAATTGCCTATAAACTTCATATTTTATTTCCTATATGTAAAATGGGAACAAACTCATCACAGGAGCTCAGTGAAATTTATTTCTTTAACACTTGTAAGGAAATAAGATGTTCTGCATGCTAAGGGGACACCACTGCCACAGTGAGTTACTCCAAGGTGAGAAATGTTGCCACTTAGAGAGCTGTAGAAAACAGAA